TGATATCAGATATTAAAATATAAGAATGATGGACAATGAAATCAGGTATTTTTCACAGGTATTTTTCAAGTTTTTGTGTCATATAAAAATTCTCAGAAGCTAAAAAAATGTTGGGGATTACACCATCCATTCACCAGGTGACTGATAAAAAACACCTTGATAATCACCAAATGTATGCATCCAAACATTTAAATATTGACCGGAAAAGCTTGGGTTGGAAACTTCATACTTGCATGCATGAAGATGAAAATAATAAAATAAAAATTTGGGACAATTGTATAGAGGGCTCTGCAATTTTTACAAGCAGAATTTTTGGTGTTAAGAAATTTTATGCCACTCCCTATACTTTACACTAAATGCATCATATTTAGTGATAAAAGAAACATTTTATTACTTAAAGGAGGACCTTCACTAAGTGTTGGGGGAGGGATATCTCCCAGTATCGGGGGAGGACCATCTCCAAGTATTGGGGAGGAATATCGCCCAGTATCGGGGGCGGACCATCTCTAAGTATCGATGAAGGAATATCTCCCAGTATCGGGGGCGGACCTTCTCTAAGTATCGATGATGGAATATCACCCAGTATTGGGGGCGGACCATCTCTAAGTATCGATGATGGAATATCTCCCAGTATCGGGGGAGGACCATCTCTAAGTATCGATGATGGGATATCACCCAGTATCGATGATGGAATATCGCCCAGTATTGGTGGCGGACCATTTCCACTTATCGGGGGAGGACTATCTTCAAGTATCGGGGGAGGAACATCTGCCAGTATTGGGGGAGGATCAACTTCTAATGTCGGAGGTGATTCATTGAAAACACTTGTTACAACATGGTCGGGAACACATATATGCTTTGAAAATTATCATATTAAGTAGTTAAGAAAAGTGTCAAAATGCAAAAAAATGTTTCAAACAATTACAAAGAAAGCAACGTCGGACATTAATTCTTAATATTATGATTTAATATGGTTAAAACGATGGTCAGAAACAATATAATAATTCAAAGATTTGAAAATTATTTTTTAAAAAAAGTAGTCCTTTGATTTCAAATTGACATTTGATTTTTGATTGTATGTACAATTGATTTAAAAAAGTCTGCAAGACATGGAAATTTCTAATCTTGAAAAAAGTCAATTTAATGACACAACGTCGAAACTGACAATTCTGTCAGCTGTTACAAAGTAAAGACGCTCGTAAATACTACCTTGTTTTGTATTTAATGATAATCAATTCTTAGGTCATATGCATTATAAAATCACGACAGACACGTCCAGCTAGAGCAATGTTTCGTTATATTTTAAAAAATACTAAAGATTAAGCGATCATACCACGTGAAATGCTACATAGTATTCAACGGATCAATCGAGGTCAAATCAATAAAGCAATTTTGTTTTAAACCTGAATTTGGTTGTTTGATTCTTTAACATCCCTCCGATTATTTTTTTCTCTCATATTGAAAATCTTTCAACAGCTTCGAATGAGAGACGGTACTCGGCTCTGACGACCTATGAAAGGCGACACATGCAGGATCTTCGTTTATACACCCCTAATAATGTTATTGTGATTTAATTCAAGACACGTGGTTTAGGTTGATCTATTTAAGGGGTATGGGGTAAAACCGGTTTTATAAATAAAATTGGCAGTTAACATAATATTGCTATAGCCTGTTTCTTTTGAAAACTTGTCCTGTAATAAATATTTCCAGACCTTTCTGAAAGACTTTCATGATTTTCAACAGAAAAAGGGTGGCTAAACGAGGGGGTGTTAAAATAACAATATATCTTATACTTTTCGGCGAAAAATTTGAGCTCACTATTGACCGATTCGTTGGTAAAAAATGTGTATTATCATCTGCACTGACAAACCTTTGTTTGCCTTAAATGGCTGTTGTTATAATTGCGCACAGCAGATCTTACATGTACCACTAGCAACTGACCAATCTTTAAATGAATAGCAACGTTTACGCCAAATACATGTTTACATTTTACTTCGAACACGTAGTTCAGGTCAATCTAGGATCATGTCAATGGACTGCAAAATAAAAAAAATGTTCTTACGAACAAAATACAAAGAAAAGAAACTATGAAAGATGTTACGGGCGTTTTTAATTTGGTGGTAACTGAGAAAAATGGTTTATAAAATGTAGTTTGTGTCTATTATAGTTCAGAACAGCAGCGCTTCAAGGGTAAGGAAAACGAGCGGCATCTCTTATGCATTTAAATGGACAAAACTTTGTTTACGTTCGTGATCACGTGTTTTGGCCAGGGAATCCAGCTGACAATGGTATTCACCGATAGTACGACAAAGGAATTAATACAGACGCAAATCGCTTTTGCAGTATGATTTTCAGAATCCTAGACTTCCTCCGTTTATTTAACAAATGAATTGTTTGTCATTATGAGCATGAAAATAATACTTTTAAAAATGCTTTTCATTTACCATTCGATTTTCTTTTTTTTCAAGCGTAAAATTCCTGTAGTATTCGTAGTAGCCCACAATGCAATAATCATTCAGCTGATTGGTCAGTTAAAATCATGCTGGTGTCTCGTTTGTTAATCTGACGCCAAAAATATAGTCCCTGTTCCCATGCAAAAATATTTGTCCAAAAATAAATTTTAATTCATGACTGCAGAAAATTGTATTATAGAGAATACTTATTTAAGTTTGAACATGATGAATGTAAGAGAGATCGATTGATTGAAGTACATTTCTACCGACATTATTAGCTGATTCTAGGGTGATGAAAACTTAAACGCAACATAACTTTTCTGTTTACCATGCCTCCAAGTGCAAGTCACTTCCTAGCCACATTTCCGTGAATAATTTACCCTATCTGAAGTATCGCTAACTCTCGCCAGAGCCACTGCCAGAGCTTCTCTGAACTCATCGGGTTTTATAATTTGCAGAACACCGAAAAATAAAAGGTTTCGAACACATTAGTAGGGGTGTTATAGATCTTTGCTGAAGGGCTGATCTCCATGCTTAGCGGTGGGATTTAAACCCCGCAACTAAAATATAAAAGCTCTAACCATTTCGAACACGAGCAACTGCTTTTGTCAAGTTGAATATAAAAGCACAATTGACTGTCCATTTCTTTTTAATGATTTTTTGTAAATAGATAACAGAAATTTACAAAGGAATAGTTGCTAAGCATAAGATGGTTTCGTATGCAGACGATGTAAAAAGTATTATCCTAATTATCGATATATTTTTATTTGGTTTCTTTGATTGATTGTATATTGTTTAAAGTTCCTTTCAAGAATTTTTCACTCATATGTAGACGCCACCACTTGCCAATGGAGAGCTACAAATGTTGTCCTATGCTCGGCACTAAGGGTCATTGAGCAGTTAGGGATCTTTTTCGTGCCATCACCTACTGTGACACGGTCTCATCCGAAAAACCAGACTCCACGTCGCAAAGATTCGAACCCGCGACGTAAAGATAAACTCCTTATTTTGCGACTCTAGAGCAGACGCTCCACACGAGTGACTGGTTTTCTTAGAGGAGATCAAATTAATTTCATATTTCGATCATTTTGCCTCGTTAATTCTTAGGATGTCTCAAACATTAAAAAGCAATGTTGCTGTGATAGAGTACGATTGATTGGATTACAAATATATCATATTGTTGACTGCGATCATTTACATGTGAGAAAAAAGAGTGAACGAGCAGCGACTGTCTTTTATCATAACAGATGTGATTATTCATTATTCGGGTCTTAATAAATATTCTTTGAAATAACAAAGTGAATGAAACACACATCTGTACATGTTTAAAGAATACAAATTAAAAATTGTCGGTGATTTAAATTTTGGAAAAGTAACATTTTTCAAAGTTTCGTTTAACGTTTTCTTATGAGTTTTTGTCCACTTATTTTTTGGTTTGTCATTTTTTTATGCAGGCGATGATATCAGCATTTCGCAACTTTCCATTACAGGTAAACTTAGCTTAATCCACCCACATATCAATATACATGTATCAATATTTCCAAATTAAATGTACTTTGCATCTTTTCTAGATTATTTTTATTCTGAGTGTGATAAGTACATTGTAGAGAAATCAGATGTTACAGTTTTTATTTGAAAAAAAAGTACATGACAAAAAGAAGCGTATTACTTATTTCAAACCATGAAAAAAAGATGAGAAGAAACGACATAAGGTTCTTAAAGTTACACGTAAACTATTCCAGACAAAAATGGCTTTCAACTTTTCAATGCATATTTTTTTTTCAGAGAATGATATAATTGGTAAGTATCTTAATTTTACTTTACTAAAACTAGGCGAGGAGTAAAGAAATTGTCATAAAAACAAAAATCTGATTAGAAGACAATCTGTACATTTAGTCGAATCTCGATGAATAATCATATACATAAAAATGAAATCAACTTTAAAAATTTTGTAGCATACTATTATCTTGCTTGTGGGTTTGACAAATATATTTGCCTATGGCAAAGTGCAGACGGCTGGGTAAATGTTGATGTCATTGGTGGTTCAATAGATGTTCCAGTTCCAAAGGGTAGGTGTATGTCAGTATTACTTTTCGTGGGGTTAAATATTTGGTTTCTTCGTAGTTTTATGATACCAACAAGTTGTAAAAAAAAAAAAAAAAAAAAAAAAAAAAAAAAAAAAAATAAAAATAAAATGAATATAGTTACATTATAGTGTTAACTACCAACTAAAATATAATACCTTCGCATCAGTATTTTCCCATTAAACCCAGAGATTCTGATTCCAAAATGATGAGTGGATTTACCTTAAACAAAATTAATTAAAGATATTATTGAACTTATCATTTTTTTTTAAAGTTTAAAATGAAAGTTCTGGTGGGCATTAAAATAACCCTGATGCTTCAAAGAAGGTACATACATACATGTACAAACTGTGTAAAGTGCACGTTGATATCAGGAAATAAACGGACATAAACTGATTAACATAGGAGATTTTTTCTTTTTGAAATTCAAAAAGGGGTAACTAAGTCATTGTATTAATTTTAAGGGTTATTTTCGATTTATAAACATTAAACCACGGGCTGAATTATACCTTATTGCAAATATAAGTTCTCGGCTTCTTATTTCGGTATCATAAGTGGAGAAAGAAGTGCTAAAACGTTTATTAATTAATAAATGAAAATGAGATAATTAAACGAAAATAAGATAAACTTGGGAAAATGTCATAAAATAACCTGTTTTATTAAAATTTTAAAGATGTTTGCATTCCATGAAATAAATTGCATGTTTGTCTAAGTAATGCATAAATAGCATGTATGCCTAAGACAAAAAGTGTTTAATAGTAATTTGAGGTGAAAATAGTGATATGTATAATTATGTTCCTTTAAAATAAATCTTGTCAAAATTTTTATGTATTTGAAATAACAATTAGCTATGGTCAAATCAATTCGGTTCATGACGTTATAAGAGATTTATTACAATATAGAGCCTGGCATATTTCTGCCTTTGGGAATAACTACGTATACAGTCGTATATGTACAAATTTTCATTTTAAAATTCTACTATTGTTATTATTATTTAAGGAAAGGTTCTAACATATGATTCAAGCCAATCAATTTTTGAGATGCCTGTTTTAACATCTCCGATCATTAACAACACGGAAGGCTCCTACTGTTTCCTAATGCAATATCGAGCGCATGAGGACACCTCGCTTAATATATATCTCACAATTGGAAACAACTACAAAGAATTATGGAATAACCCTATTAAGGACCTGAAATGGCAGCTTCTCCGAGTGGATTTAGAAAACATATCAGGAAATTTCCAAGTGAGTACTTTGCTTCAATTTTTTTCTGATTTTTTTTATATTTGATATAACATGATTGAATCGTGTGCATGATAGCTTTAAAACCCTAAGAAATATTGAATTTAAAGGAATTGATAAAAAGAAAAAAATTAGGCAATTAAATTGGGCCTTTTTGGCCTCACAAATATTAACCAAATTTAATTTTTTGTTTTGAAACAAAGAAGTTGTCTTCCATTTTCGAAAACAGCAATGACCCACAGGTAAGTCTTCATTAGCGAGACAAAATACATTAACTCTATGAAAATCTTCTTCTCTGCACCTTGGTATTTAACAAACTAAGTGCATAGGTATGATAAACAAGAGTGTCTCTTTCAAAATTGTGATTTTCATGACCCCAGGGTCAGGGGTTCTTGTTTTAGGGAGGGGCTCTAAAGATTAGACAGTGAAAATACATTAATTCTTTAAATAAATTACTTCTCTGCTCCTGGGTGTTTAATAAACTAACCAATGAGTCATATTAAACAAGCTGCCTCTTCCAAATTGTGAATTTCATGACCCCATGGTCAGGGGTCCTGGTGTTAGGGTGAGGCTCTATTGAATTATATGGTGAAAATGCATAAATTCTTTAAAACTCTTCTTCTCTGCTCCTGGGAATTACACCAATGAATTTTGCACATAGTTATGACGAGGAAGTATTTCTTTTCCAAAATTGTGAATTTCAAGGCCCCTGGGTCAGGGGTTCTGGTGTTAGGGTGGGGCTCTAATGATTATACACTGACGCAAACTTCTAAGTTTTCACCTAACATTTTTTTGAAGTTTGGAAGAACAAATGCCTACAATTAATAATTTCTTATTTTTTCGAGGTTAATGATGCATATTTCAGATCAATGTTGCGTCAATTTCATGTAAGTATCTCGTCAGAATTTTAAGCAAAGTGTCAAGGACATGATTTATCTTCAAAATGAAAATCACATAAATAATCTCTTTGGAGTAAGACCACCACTCGCTCCAATTAATGCAAGACAACCTTTACTCATGGGTACAATATACCCTTGAATAGGACATTGGTTTATTTGCTGTCATACATACTGCATGGATCTTTCTAAACCGTGAAAGTGTGTGGAGCGAGCTCGATGGGGGGGGGGGGGGTGTTGACATTCCTTATAAAAATCCCAAATATGTTCAATGCGTTACATATTCGGGAATTGGCAGTGCATCATCACACAGATGCCTTTTGGACAATACCCTTGGGCGCTTAGCACGTAAGTGTACCGCTTAATGGATAATAATATTCAGACTGTTTGAGATGTTATTGAACTGCCTTGAGAACCAATTTCTTGTCATGTTCATACAATTGAAAGTTGTTTGCTTTAATGTTTCTAAAATTGTTTCAGACCAATGTAACAATCTTTTAACCTGGTTGTGACGCAAAACCTTCGCCTCAGACAATGATCCAGATTACTTTGTTAAATTTCATCCAAAGCTTTCAAATTATAATAAGATGGTGATGAAAAGTACGCAAAATTGATAGAAAAACGTGTTAAAATGGTTTTTATACTGGTTTTTAATTTGAAAAAGTAATATCAAGGACAAATAAACACGGAAATAAATGTGAGTAAAACGTGGTGCAAATCTGCTCTTTTTTGTATTAATCAACCATTTATGATGAAATAAAATTTATGATAAAATTTCCAAAATTTTGAAACGTGTGGCCCCAGGATCAGTTGTTCCTGTGGGATGGGGTCACAACTGTTAATAAATTGGAAATGTTTTTTTTTTTTTGTTACTCAGATCTACATGTACCTCTGAGTATTAAGTAACCATGCTAAGTGTATAATCATGATAAGCAATGGTGCCCCTCTTTCAAAACTGTGAATTGCATGGCCTCTGCTTTAAAAAACAAACCAAATGCAATTGTTTTTAAATGATATTCAAGTGACCTATAAGGCCCGTGGGCCTCTTGACAAAATCTACCTTTATGTGAAGAAGAAAATTGTACCCAAATGGGCTCATATGTTGTGTTTAAAATATTGTAAAATCTAGCTGGCCTTCCCCATTATGAACAGAACAAGGAAGGTATTCTGTTGGACGACTTTCTAACCGACCTTTCAGGTGAAATGCATTAAAAGTGAGAACTACAAAAATATTAGGAAAATTTAATACTAGTACCTAAAAGGGGGCTTTCTTCTCCTTAATTACTTTCCGAAAGACAATTTGATATGTATTTTAACCTCAGATTAAAAGCGAATCTTCAATTTTTTTGCTCACAATGACAAACATTTGATTTATTTTATAATTGACTTCATTTGTTTTGCTCACATAAATGTGAAGCATTTCTTTATTTTCAACAGAAAAAATGACAAACATTTGATTTATTTTATAATTGACGGTTTTGTAAGTTGATAAATAGACAAATGTCTACATGTATTTCCGAACATCTGTGAATACAAATTTCATGCAAAACTGAGGTTTCATGCGTATTGTCATGCATAAAAAGGCTTTTGTGATCATTTTAAGTTTGAAATGTAGTGGCAATAATGTTAAATTGACCATCTAAATCACGTGTTTTTGATACATTATACATTTCTTAGAATAAACCATCATACTTTGTTATTTAGTCAACTGATTGGACGATTGTTCTCTGTAAGCCACAATGCGAAATGATACCATTAGCCATGTAATGATGATTCCTCAGACATGCACATTCCTCTAAGACCCGCCTATTCTATTCATTTTTGTCCTTAAAAGAACATACGGTAACAAACAAGGGCAAATTTTGATTTCATAGGGTCTAAAAATTCATGGATAATGAAGTATTCTTCAAAATCCAATTGGAACTATCCATATTACACAGAAGGTGTCATTTTTCTTCCTTCTCTGTTAAAAATAACCAGAATAATTTCATTGTAGATTTTATATAATTCATCGTAGAATATTGGTTTGCCTCCTGATCCTTTGCTAATCTAGATCATGTTACTTCATGTGACACGTCTAAATAAACAATCGAAATGTCCTGAATATGTAGATTTGATCCACATTACATTTGTCTGAAGCCGTAAAGTCCTAAAAAGAATTACCCATCAATGATTTTTTCTTTCATCTGAAATATCCATTTGTCATTAAAACTGTACTAAGCAGTGTTTTGAAAACTCATCTTGTTAGGTCACCTGAGTAACTCAGGAGACCTATGTGTGTGTCGTGTGTTAACATTTGAACATTTTCAGCTTCTTCTCTGAAACCACTAAACCAATTTCAAGCAAATTTGGTATACAGCATCTATGGGTGAAGGGGAACAAAAATTGTGAATTTCATGGTCCCCACCCCCCTGGGGATTGGGGCCAAAACCACTAAAATTATTGCAATCTTTAAAAATCTTCTTCTTTACTCCTGGACATCAAGCAGGCAAACTGTTAGCATTAATGTAATGATCATTGAGTCCTCTACCAAAATTGTGAAATTCATGGCCCCAGGGTCAGGGGTTCTAGTGCTAGGGCGGGGCTATATAGATTATATAGTGAAAATGCATTATTTCTTCGAAAATCTTCTTCTCTGCTTCTGGGTATTAAATAAACTAACTAAGTACATAGTTATGATGAGCAAGAGTGCCTATTCCAGATTTGTGAATTTTATGGCCCCAGGGTCAGGGGTTCTGGTGTTAGGGCGGGGCTCTATAGATTATATAGTGAAAATGCATTTATTCTTTGAAAATCTTTTCTCTGCTTCTGAGTATTAAATAAATAACTAAGAATGATATCCATTTTATGGTCTATAGATTATATAGTGAAAATGCATTTAAAATCTTCTTCTCTGCTTCTGGGTATTAAATAAACAAACTAAGTACATAGTTATGATGAGCAAGAGTGCCTCTTCCAGAACAGGGTCATCTCTATAGACTATATAGTTAAAATGTATTCTTTGAAAATCTTCTTCTCTGCTTCTGGGTATTAAATAAACTAACTAAGTACATAGTTATGATGAGCAAGAGTGCCTCTACCAAAATTGTGAATTTTATGGCCCCAGGGTCAGGGGTTCTGGTGTTAGGGCGGGGCTTATAGATTATATGTGAAAATGCATTTATTCTTTGAAAATCTTCTTCTCTGCTTCTGGGTATTAAATAAACTAATAGTGCATAGTTATGATATCTTCTTCCAGATTTGTGAAATGGCCCCAGGGTCAGGGGTTTCTGGTGTTAGGGCGGGGCTCTATAGATTATATAGTGAAAATGCATTTATTCTTTGAAAATCTTCTTTTGACTTATTACATAAACAAACTAAGTACATAGTTATGAACAAAAGTGCCTCTTCCAGATTTGTGAATTTTTTGGCCCCAGGGTCAGGGGTTCTGGTGTTAGGGCGGGGCTCTATGGATTATATAGTGAGAATGCATTTATTTGAAAATCTTCTTCTCTGCTTCTGTGTATTAAATAAACTAACTAAGCACATAGTTATGATGAGCAAGAGCCTTTTCCAAAATTGTGAATTTTATGCCAATTATCCAAGTATACATATTTATGATGAAGAAAGGTGCATCTAGCAAAATTGTTATTTTTATGCCCTAAAGGGGGGGGGGGGTTACCTGAAAATAAATATGCTTTGAAACCTGCTCTTTGGTATTAATCAACCATTTTATGATAAAATTTGCAAAATTTTGAAATATGTGGCCCCAGGTTCAGTGGTTCTTTTCGGGTGAGCTGCACAATTGGTTATAAAGTGGAAGAACATTTTCTCTTTTTCTGATCTACCTCTAGGTATTGATAACATTAATAAGCAATGGTGCTTCTTTCAAAATTGTGAATTGTGAATTTCATGGCCTCTGGTTTAAAACACGAACCAAATTTAATTGTTTGAAAGTTGTTACACAATACTCAGGTGACCTATAAGGCCCGTGGGCCTCTTGTATTAAGAAGGTATCCAAGTATTGCAATTAATTGTGAATACATATACTTTATCTCTTCAAATCATTTGACTTACAGATGTTCATAACAAGCGTCCCTAAACGTCAGAATGTGTCAGTCAGTATAGATTACACAGATCTACGATCTGGTCCATGCAATCCTTCCATGATTGTAGAAGAAGTCCTGGATGTTATTGGTAAGCTACTTTTTTTCACAAATAACATATATCCATTCGTTTTCGAAATATTGTTCTACTACCTTTGATAGCACACTAAAACGAAATATAAAATGTTTGTGTTTAATGTTATAAAATGTTAATTTGCAAATTAATGGTTCTATTTATTGTTTCTTAAATAGAAAATGGGTCCAAAGCTGCCTAAGACACGGAAAGTAACTTATGGTACAGTTAAATTATATTTATGCTTTCTCTTTTCCCATGCTATGAAAATGACAAAGCACATAATTATGTATATTGAAGTATTTTATTGATAAAAAAGTAAAATTCAACGAGCTCGACAAAATAGGACTGGAATTATAGGGAAAGCTGAATTAATCTTATACGTTAACAATAGTTATATAGTTTTGGTTTGGTACGCAATAGCATGTCCTGAACAATTTGTAATAGATGAAGGAAATATATCGAATTGACACTTGAACTTGCATAAATTTTGCATTAAAAGATATTTAGCAATAATCAACGTCAGGGTGTCTCATTAAAATTAGTTTCTTTTCCCTTTCAGGTGAACCTTATTTTAAAAAGGGATATTGTGAAACTTCATGACATCGACAGATTTTTTCAACCATTTGGTCTTTGTTGTAATATGTGATTCGAGATGTATATTTATAGCGTCTCTGTACTGACACTGTGACATATCTTTCCCAAGGAGATGGATCAATATGAATTTTTTTTTTTTACATATTCTTAATTTACATGTACATGTAATCTAATCCCCATCGTGTTTAAATACTGTATAACCACTTTTTAAGAGGACAATTTTCGTGTTTTGCAAAACAAAATGTTCAAAGAGATTTAATTGCATAAGTGGGTGTAAGCTTTTATACTGTTGTATAGAATTTTCAAACAGTTCGTTTGGTACATGAACTCTTTGGTGTCTTCAAGAAATGACGAAAATTACCTCTTAGATAGTAAGTAATATTACTGAAGGTTGTTGAAGACTGGCCTTTATTTGACTTAATTAGTTTTCCGAAAAATTTATCGGAAACTTACATATAACAATTCTCTAGAGTCGCAGAGTAAGGCGTTTATCCTTATGATGTGGGTTCGAATCTCTCTGTGGGGCGTGTAGACCATATGAACCGAGATCACATGCCGCACTAGATGCTGGAAGGAAAAAGATTCTTCGCTTCTCAATTCCCGGAGTGTTGAGTATAGGTTAAAATTTGCAGCTCTCCACGGGCAAGGGTGTTGCTATCTCAATATGAGTGAAACATTCTCGACAGGGAACATATGATATTTAAAAACAAGTTTTTTAATTGAATGCTCAGAAAGATAATCCTACGGTGAGGAAAAGCAAAGGGGAATCGAAGCATTCTATGGAAACAGAAGCAACATTAAAAAAAAAATTTAATGGTATATAATTTTGATTTTAAAAAAATAATTTATTATTTTTTTTTTGGTGAAAAACCATGAGTTAAGTAGAACTTGTGATTTTGTTTTGTTTTGTTTTTAGCTCACCTGAGCCGAAGGCTCAAGTGAGCTTTTCTGATCACATTTTGTCCGTCGTCCGTCCGTCCGTCCGTCTGTCTGTCTGTCCGTCCGTCCGTCTGTAAACTTTTCACATTTTCGACTTCTTCTCAAGAACCAGTGGGCCAAAAAATACAAAGCATCCTTAAAGGGAAGTTTAAATTGTTAAAATGAAGGGCCAAGTCCCCTTACAAGGGGAGATAATCAAGAAAAGATAAAAATAGGGTCGGGTCACTAAAAAATCTTCTTCTCAAGAACCACTGGGCCAGGGAAGCTGAAACTTATGTGGAAGCATCCTGGGGTAGTGTAGATATTAAATTGTAAAAATCATGACCCCCGGGGGTAGGGCGCGGCCACAATAGGGAATCCAAGTTTTACATAGAAATATATAGAACAAAGCTTTAAAAATCTTCTTCTCAAGAACCACTGTGCCAGGAAAGCTGAAACTTATATTTTTTTTAGATACTAAATTGTTAAAATTTTGACCCCTGGGGGTAGGGTGGGGTCGCAATAGGGAATCCAAGTTTTATATAGAAATATACTGGAAAAATCTTCTTCTCAAGCACCAGTGGGCCAGGAAAGCTGAAACTTATGTGGAAGCATCCTTGGGTAGTGTAGATATTAAATTGTTAATATCATGACCACCGGGGGTAGGGCATGGCTACGATAGGGAATCCAAGTTTTACATAGAAATCAAATCTTTAAAAATCTTCTTCTCAAGAACCACTGGGCCTCAAAAGCTGAAACTTATATGGAAGCATCCTTGGGTAGTGTAGATATTAAATTGTTAAAATCATGACCCCCAGGGGTAGGGTGGGGCCACAATAGGGAATCCAAGTTTTACATAGAATTATATAGAACAAATCTTGAAAAATCTTCCTCTCAAGAACCACTGAAGGAATGCTGAAACTTATGTGGAAGCATTTAGTGTAGATATTAAATTGTTTTGACCCCCAGGGGTAGGGCAGGCCACAATAGGGAATCCAAGTTTTACATAGAAATATATATAGAACAAATCTTTAAAAATCTTCTTCTCAAGAACCACTGGGCCAGGAAAGCTGATACTTATATGGAAGCATTCTTTGGTAGTGTAGATATTAAATTGTAAAAATCATGACCCCTGGGGGTAGGGCGCGGCCACAATAGGGAATTCCAAGTTTTACATAGAAAAATATAGAACAAATCTTTAAAAACCTTCTTCTCAAGAACCACAGGGCCAGGAAAGCTGCAACTTACGTGGAAGCATCCTTGGGTAGTGTAGAGTCTAAAGTTTTAAAATAATAAAGGGAAGGGGGTTGTTGGGCATGATAGGTATAGCAAGTAAAGAACTGCATCACCTAAGGTACTCAGGTGAACGATGTGGCCCATGGGCCTCTTGTTTTTGTTTTTTGTTTTTTTTTTTTTGTTTTTTTTTTTGTTTGTTTGTTTGTTTTTTTTTTTTTTTTCTTTTTTTTTTTTTTTGATAGAGTGCTTAGCGCCATTATCGCATCTTTATTAGTATGTGATAGAAATTTCTTAGAAAATAGAAAATATTTTAAAGCTGTTTTTGCAAACTCGTATACATACATGTATAATAGTACTTAGAAAGAAATATGTTTTTGTCTATCATCTGTACTGAAGTTGTGCGTCCTCTTTATATTTGTAAAGATGAAAAATAAACCTTATCTATCGGCTATCTGTTTTGAAGTTCTTTTTTATTCGTATGAGATACCTTGTAGTTATAACAAAGAGGAAATATTGATTAAGCTGAATGTTTCGTTAATGTCAAGTCTTATAAAAAAAAATTATTCACAGAGTGCGAATATTACATGTAACATGAACATGGTATTGAATGTATTCTATGATTTGCTACGTGTGTTTTTTTCATCCGTATTCTTAAAGATCATTTCAGAAAATAAGAGAAGCAGTATGTTAGTATTTACATAATTAATTGAAATCAAATACAATTATTCACACAAATCAAAGTGTGGAAATTATATCGAAATAAAATTTATGTCATGCAAAATCGACGAATATTACGAACAGCTATAAAATATTATTTTTTTTTACCTTTGTCTTTATTATTTAGCTTTTGATCTAAAACGTGTTAACAGGTTAAATTTCTTGTTTATCAAATGAAATCCCGTTCGCACTACATGTACGAGACACTTGTTTAATTGCTCGTATGTGATACTGATATTTACACGCAAAAAAAACCTTTTCATTGGCGATATTTATCTCTTGCATTGCCCACACCAGTGAATGTGTCTCCGGTCAACCGGGATGCTTACTCCTCTAAGGCACCTGATCCAAAATCTGGAATTTCTGGGAATTCATGTTTATGCTCCGTTCATTTAATTCTAACTTCTTGATATCGACGGCTGTTCGTTGTCTTCACCTTTTTTTGAATTCTATAAGGAATCGTTATCATGGTGTTCACCATAAAAGCTGTATGTTTTTACATCCTTTTGAAATATTTTTAGCATGAAATTGATTCTGCATCTCTTCTTCAGTTTTATTTAACTTTTAGGATGTTTTTTTTAATGCTGAGAATTCATCAATTTTTTGCGTGTTATACAGGCACAATTTTTTCGCACTGAAATGAAAAAAAACAATCTACGATGAAATTGGTTAGATATAATAAAGTCATAAAGATAGTGCTGTAAATCACGTTTTATACGCGAGAACTTTATTTTTGTGTAGTTACGCGAGACAATGGGCTCGCGAAAATTTCATTCTCGCATATATAAGTATTCCTTACGATGATATATAGGAATAACAATTTGTGCAAATTATGTCTCGCTTATAAAGATTCAATGGACCTGCGATTCTATGGAAAGCAAGAATATTAGATTCACAAATGAAGAAAAAAGTTTTCAAAAATTTACAGATGTGCTTGAATTTAAAGGTGCATATCATCAGATCGACATAATCAAAAAATATTCAGAGAGGGGTTGAAAAGCGTGATTTTGGCGACATCAACGATGACAAACTCAGACAACAAATGTCGTCTTAATTTGTTAAACAACTGTCTTCTACTTTAATTTTTATATATAAATATTAGAAACAGGATTTCAAACAAATCAAAAATGGCTTAATTTGTAGAAACAAATTTAAACATGTAAATTTGTAAATGCACAGAATTAATAAAACCAAAAGTTTTTTTTTTTTATAATTAATATGCTTCAATTGTTTCTTGATATATCCTTGGAATTTTATAAATTTTTTAACAGAGAGATGTAAATCCACATAAATGGAATCTGAAAATTATTTAAAAATGTTTTAGATAGATCAGCATGTACTGGTCCCAGCAGACAAGTTGAGTAACAATATAGTGTTCCTTTATAAGGCACTTTATTTTAATTGTATGAGTTTAAATTCTGCAAATCTGTTCTAAATTATACCTACATCTCACTTTCTAAGAAGAATATTTATGTATTCTTATGCTTATATGCAAGCTCATCGCAGCTTGTTTTTGCTAATTTTATATAAGTCAAATAAAACACTTTCATAGAGATGAATAATGTCATTTATTAAAATAATATTATAAAAATGTGAATAATTTAACAAACAAGAAGGGGATCAGATTCACAAGCTTTGATTAGCAGTTACGTAAAATATGATAATGTTGATCCCCCAAAACTGACTAGAAAAAAGTATCTGTAAGACAAGACAATGAAAACTTCATATGAAAAAGTTAGCAAAAAGATGGCACATCAACTCAAAATAGGCCACAAAATAGAATCAAAACATCATATTAAAAAGTTAGCAAAAAGATGGCACATCGAAACAAAATAGGCCAAGGATAGTAGTGAAACAAAATACATAAAACAGTATAAACAAATCGAGTCAGAACTAATGAAATATATGAATTTACATGACACATTAATACACATTTTTAGGGGTAGGAATGTAGGGGTGGAGGAGGGTCTTCAAAATAGATTTGAAAATCATATATCAGTATTGAATATTATAAACATTACGAAGAATCAAATTTAAATTTAAATCACATAATTTTACTGGATTTCTAAACTTCATAAAAATTGTAAATACCGGGTTTCAGTACATGTTTTATCAAGCCCTTTTAACTTCTCTCTTGGATATTCAGTCAAGAGTGAAGGAGAACGTTAGGGAGTACTGTACAGTATATTCGAGAAGAGGTATAAATCAGATGTGGATGCCTTAGACTCCAAAGAAATTCTAGGGATATCACAATATTTCACCAAAATCAGTAACATTTAATGACGTAGCATTCAGCAGTTTTTCATTATGTAGTTATAATCTGAAGAATTTATTAGTAAGACCACATAAATTTGTGTTACATATACTTAAGTGTACATTGTATTAAACCTTCTTTTATGTCAATGATATTGCACAGTTTTAGGTAATCCTTTAATGAAGTTGGGATCGGTAACTTGTTAACAGGAGGAAAAATAGTGGTATCTTTATTAATTATCCGTAAATGCTTCCTAATTAATGAACGACAACTTTGTTTTAAGCTTGGTGGTTCTTCCATGCTAATGCCACTTTCTGCCATTTTTGTCTTGGTATAACTACAGTCGAGATCATCGCTTGTATACCGGTAACCGGCAGCAATAAATGTTTGAAGCATAATATTAAAACCTACACAGGTCCTTCTAGAATTGAAAAGATTATGATACGAAAACTGTTGCAGTACATCTTTGAGTTTATATTGATCTGGATCCATGCCGTGTTGAAGTAGTAGAATAGCCGTGTCACAGGTGAAACACGGTCCCGGGATATCTAGTGTTGTCGGTTGATTTGCCTCGTACACTTTTCCTCTTCTGAAAATTAAGATAACAGACGAGTGCATGTAGTAAGAATTATAATACAGAAATATCCTTATATTCACATTTTACATATTAGAGTCATCTTTATCGTCTCAAGCCACGGTCCGGAGTTCGCATATATATTTCACAAAAAGAGTCATAATCTTGAATATTTAGGCCTCCCTATTGTGACGTCATTTTCAGTCAGTTGCAAGTTTTGTTTCCATCGCAATTGGAATCAACAATTGACGTCGACAGTATACAAGAAATATTTCCTATACTGTGATTGGATATTGAAAGGTCGCGATAAAGTTCATCATCCGACTATGCTTTACTCGCATTGGTCAATATTTTAATGAGCTACGAAAAATTCTGTCTTCGTTCAACCACGGCAAGAATGGGAGAGGATAGTACATTTTGGCCGTGGTTTGCGACGATGAGTCATCTTTGAATGTTTGATATTTGATACAAATATAAGTCCATTTTGTAGATTTATCTCAGCTTTGAATGTTCAATATTTTTAAAACAAAATCTTCAGATCTTAGCACAGGTTGATGTACATTATACCCTAATCAATTAGTCTACCCACTGACTATGATATACCCAAAATAAGATTGTGAGTAATATTAATTGGGTATTGTACACAGGTTTATTCATTGTTTTCATCAGAGAGAAAATGGATCTTAATCCTACGTCAGATATCGTAATTAATCCATAAAAAGTGAATAAAATATTCATTAAAAATTTTTCCATACTAATCGACAATTCAACGCTACATAGCGTATAATGAACTTTATCTAAGTGAATCTATTCATATGATTTTTCTTACCCATAAAAGAAACAGTGTCCCCAGCAAGTTGTATTTAATTTTGCCCCAGCCATTAAATAAACTTCAAGTATCCTTGTCATAGGCGATGGTGGAGGAAGAGAGATCCCCGGTAAATTTATGGAATATCTCGGTTGAAAAATACTGTATTGTTCTATCTCGGGCTTTTGTAGATTAATGAACTGCTTATAGCCTTTGAATTTGTTCACATCAGCACCTAATAAGAAAGGTTTTATGTTTATTTATATACACATTTTTTTTTATTTTAGATATAAGTAAGCACAGTTCTCTCATGATCACGTATCGTGAAAGAGATTGATTATTTTTTATTTTTATAGACCTAATCAACTGTAAATATTGACATCCCAGACTTCATTTAAGGGGTGACTCATATTTAAATATATTTCTGTTTTCAAAAAAAAGGTTTTTTTTAATAAAATCGTTTTGCTAATCTTGTTCTTTAAAGATCTATGCCATGCACTAAAATAAAATAGTGAAAATATTAACTGCCGCCGCACTTCACACACAATGTTAAAAAACTTTAATCTCAAACCTGAATCTAACAACAGCTTTACAATGTCTACATCCCTTGCTGCTATAGCATAGTACAATGGAGGCACCCCTTCCTCTCCCGACATATGTTTATAACTCCTGAAAGGCAAATTAATGTCTGCACCCGCATCAATAAGCTTCCTAACAAGCTCTACATCTCGAAACCTGTATAGAAGAGGAAGAATGGGGCCGGAGTATTCATTCATACACTAAATACTATCAGTTTATTCTGAAATGTCACAATTTGAATTTTTAGGCACTCTAATCTTTCGGTTTTGTAGCAACAGTTAGGAACACAAGCATGACATAAACATTGACATCATTTTCAAAAAGATATTCTAATATATTATATACAGACTTCACTACTACTTCACATGAAGAAGAAACACAATGCGATAAAAAACTTACATGCAGGCAATAATTATTGGTGTATATTCTAAGTATTCTTTATTTATGGAGACCTCTGTGTATCCATACATACCACGAACCTTCACTTCCACTTCAAGTTTTATCGTATCATTTACAGAATTTGACTTCACTGTAAATTAATAACATTAATTATAATGAAAATAATGGAAAGAGATTTCAATACCATATAAAATTGATTGCTGACCTTTCCTTTAGAGGAAAAAAAATTAATACTGTGTAGTGACTTTTTACACATTTTTTTTCTGATCACAATTTATTATCTATCTGACTTTGAAACCTTGACGAATAAATGCACAACGTTCATTGGTAAAGATTTGTGGCCAAAAACTATCCTTAAAGGCATATACAAATGTACATTTAAAAGAAATACGTATACTAGTGTAACGTATTTACAATTAATCACTGGGATCGTACCTGGTCATTTCCAGGGTTTGGGGTATTTAACATCAATTTAAATGATTGAAAATAATTGGTATAATCTTAGTGGACTGCCGAAATATACAAATATGTCCTAACCTTATCTAGGTAAACAATAATCAAATGGTAAATCAAATGGTAAAACGAAGCTAATTTGATAATAAACCTGAGTCCCATGCATAACGGACAAGGTCCTCCTTTCTTTTGCAGATGACTTGCCCTGTTGATATATATTGCCCCATAACTAAAAAGAAAGGATTAATTAGAGCAGTATTCTTTACAGAAATAGGCATAAAAATGGAAATATATGACATCATATTTGAACTATTGAGATGCTTCCAGTTGTTGATTTTCAGAGTTAAAAAGTTGTAATTATGTCCCGAGCTATGTATGGTACTTAATATGCATTTAATATTTACATATTAAACAATTTATTAAAAGTTTTGTTTTTTTTTTAAATCAAAACAACGATTAAAAAATACAAATTGATTAATAATGAAAAAAGGCTAGATATATAAAAAGGTATGACACTCATGCAGATGTCATTTTTACTCAACTTTCGTCCGTTATTTTAATCCTTTTAAAACACTATTAAATAGTCATGCATTTATACAAAAATAGACATTTAAAAATAGACATGACATATAGGGTTAATGACGAATGTCTGTGTTAACAACATTGCGATATTTACGATCATCATGAACCAAATCTTAGTGCTTCTTTACAAATGTTATAATAATTTTTTAAGGCGAAAAGATTTCAGTCAAACCTTTTTTTTTCTTCGGACTTCCTTGTGAATATAAACAATCTTGTATGGAAGCACAAATCAGCAATAAAACAATTAAAGGGTAATTTTGCCGTTGTGGAGAATCTAACGTACATGTCACAGACATTTGTATCGTATACGGGACACCCCTACTCATTTTAACCACAAGGTACTTAACTCAATTTCAGTCCCTCCAGTTTCAAGCTCTTAGCTCTTAGTTAATATGTCAAAAAAATTACCTCGACACCAAGTAAGATATCGAAAGAGATACATATATTCCTGGTTGGGGTTATAGATTTAGGATAATGCAATGCAATTAAAAGCTCCAAGGTCAATATCAATAGGTCAAAATTGCTGATATCCAAAGATAGGTTTTGTAACAATGAATACACCAGTGAAATATGAAAGTCCTAATGCTAATTTTTCAAACGTTACATGTATAGCCAAGGTAAAAGATTTATAAAAGTGGATCAAACTCTAAGGTCAAGAAGTCAAAATAGTTATATCCATTGAAGATCCTCTCCTTGTCACTGTGAATATAATGTGAAGTACGAAAGTTATGGCCGAGGATAATTTTAAAAAAGTTTAAAGTAGATTAAACTCCAATGTCAAAGTCAAGAATTCAAATTTAGTGGTACCCTAAGAAAGGTCTTGTCACAAAGATTACACCTTTGAAATATGATAGCCATTGCCCCACCCACTCAAATGTTGTGATCAAGATTAAAGTTGTTTTTGTAACAGACAGACGGACAGACAGGGCAAAAACTAAATACTCATGAATATTCGATTACAGGGACATAAAAATGAGGTATATATTAGCTGTATATAAGCTTCGACAGCAATATTTATCAGTATCTACCTGTCTCTTCCACCATTCGAGTGCTCTCAAAATTGAGTCAGTTTCATCTGTGCCTGTTATGGCAAAATACGTGTATGGAAGGAATAACCTGACTTATTAGGTACGGTGGGTATATATACCCCCAAACTGATACATGTATATAAATTTTGAAGTATTGTACAGCTCTTCATCCGATTGCATTTTCATGCCCCAAACACTTCATGGTAAATATAAAAAAAAAAAATCACCAGTACATGTTTAGTTTTGGTGAAAAAAATTATAGAGAAAATGAATAACAATGTCAAAGTTATCTGATATGTTTTTGTTTAATAAATATCATATATTTAAATTCAGAATTTATTTTTATGAAACTCCAATCCTTATCATCATCTAGGTTTGCATTTTATAACAGTATTATTTAAATCAAAGGTATTCCTCAATTTTAGGTATTCCTTTAATAGAAGTGGAATTGGTAACTTGTCTACGAAAGGAAATATTGATGTATCTTTACTAAGTATCTGCAAATGCTTTCTTATCATTGAACGGCAACATTGTTTTAAACTTAGTGGCTCCTCCATATTTACGCCATTTCTTTTAAGTTTTCTCCTATAATACTCCTTCTTTGTATCGTCACTTGTGAAGTGGTAACCAGCCCCAATAAAAGTTTGTAAGAAGGCATTAAAATTTACACAATTCATGCTAAGGTAACGACTACTATGCTGGGAAAATTGCTGCAAAACATCCTCGAGCTTATACAGGTCTGGATCGACGCCATGTTGAAGAAGAAGTACAGCTGTATCACAAGTAAAACGTGCTCCCGGAATATTCAGTCGGCTAGGACGATTGGCCTCATAGACTTTACCTCTCCTGAAAACAATGATGACATACAGTAGTTATTTAATTAGATAGTAATTTTCGCCTTCGGCAGAGCCCGAGAATATTATATTCAACACAGTGACCTAAATAGATCACCCTGACCTTCTTTAAGGTCAAGATTTATTAGATTTTTTAAATGATTCCGAGCCTATTAGTATCAAACTATATATATTATAGTTATATAATATATATAAATAATGAGAATGAAAAGTTAAAAAAAAATAAAAGGCAGGATATTCTTTGAGTTTTGGGTCATGAAATAGATCTTATCTTTCTTATTCAATTAAACTTATGTAATGTGTTGAGCAAATTTGTTCAAATCCACCTTTCGATTATTTGTTAGCATTGTTCTGGCAAAAACAGCCCTCTTGATCACATTTCTCTCTTTTCTCTTAGTGATAAATCTTTATTATGTATTTTAGAAATATGATTCTATTCCATATCAGTATTTTTTCTTACCCATAAAAAAGACAGGGACCCCAACATGTTGTATTTAATTTCACTCCTGCTGATAAATATAGCTCTAGAATTTTTATCATACAGGCCGATGAGTCTCGTAAAGAATAACTAGGTTCAATAATGCTGTAAACCTCATTCCTTGGCTCTTGAAGGTTGATGAACTGCATGCGCCCTCTATATCCGTTTACGTCAGCACCTAGCAGTAGTCCAAACTGTTAAGGTTCATCCACAATATGATAAGAAAGACAACACTTTTGGGGAATTAATGCCGACTGGTGTTTTTCATACTTATTGTCAGTCCATTATTTATACAGTGAATTGACGACGGATTTTTCCGTTATTTATTAATCGTTACTAGGAGCACACGGGCGGTATTGTGGACCTTAAAATTATGTGCGATAAATTTACGAAAAGGGGATGCTCACTCTAGGATTTAAACTCCAATGGAATGTAATGAATGGCTATACTTAAAAATCCCACCTCATGTGTTCTGATGTTACCAACGGGAGGTAACTTTTGCTAAATTTAGGTACATCGAAAACTATCCATTCAATTAATTTTTTATTCCATTTAGTTTTTTCCAGAAATCTCCTTAGTACAAACATCATCATCATTTATTTGATGCAAAAAAAATGTCAGATAAAGAAAAGAGTGAAGCTTGGAAAAGTTGGCTCAGACTCTTAAGATTTATCTTTGATCGTAATTATTAATGAAAATTGAGATCAGAATCTCCAGTCAAAAGTATTTAAGCATTTTTTTGTCATATTTTAATAAAGCTATGTTAAGAGCGCCAGTGACAAATAGTGAATCCCCTCTGACTGGCCCTGAGTCCTAAAAACCACATGCACCTGACATTACTTATTTTTCTTATATAAAGTATAACCCCATTATCTAATAATACACGTGCATTTTTAGCTATGGAGTTAATAATTATTCAATATAAGCCAAATACGTAACGTTATGTGCCTATGCTCAAAAACACGGCATCTTCATAAAATATATGGAGATAACGAACAGCAGTCAAGATCAAACATCAGAGGTGGGATCAGGTGCCATGGAGAAGTGAGAATCCCCTGCCGACCGGTCACACTAGCCGTGTGCTCCATGTCATGATCAAGAAATAAAGAAAAAATCCGTCGTCAATTCAGTGTATAAATAATAGACTCACAATTAGTATGAAAAACGTCAGTCAGCATTTGACTCAATGATAAAATTGTATTTGCTGACAAGGTCATTGTATCGACCATAGAACTTACGTGTACGAAATGATGACTTTAAACAAGACTGCTGATATTCTTGTTACATCAATTTGTTTGTCAATAATTTACCTCGTTTTTGAAATTATTAATACATAGAAACTGCTCTTGAGTACCAAATCAGCTGAGATATATAAACTCCGTATGCAGGTGATGAAGGTATATTGCTGCATAAGCAAGGGAAGTTGCATAAGCAACAGAATCTTTGTACACGCTGCCTGATGTAGCTCATATGTTATAATTATATTTTAACAAAAGATTTAATTATGCCTTGATATGTATGTTTCCATACCCTTTAAAATGGGCATCCTTTTCAAGTCATACCTGAATCTAATAATAACTTTACTATATCTGCATCTCTCGCTGCTGTTGCATAGTACAAGGGCGGCACTGCTTCTTCCAATGATTTATATTTATCTTCCTGTGGGCGAAAATTAATGTCCGCCCCTGCCTGAATGAGTTTATGAACTAACTCTTTATCACAAAACCTGAAATGTAATAAAACTGTATTAAAGATTATTAAACGTCTTTTCGATAATTTTTCTCACTGATATTGAGTTGCCACCATTTGCCAATGGAGGACTGGAAAAGATCTTTATTTGGCACTTAGGACATTTGACTTTGAGCAGTGAAGGATTTTTGTGCTGCCAGATCACACTGCATTCAACATGGACTTCTAATTACCGTATAAGTTGAAATTTTAGCGAGACGTAAATTTGGCGTTTTGTCCTTAAAATATGGTAATTTATTTTTAGCGGGAAGTAATTTTAGCGATTTTTAAATGCTCATAAAAACCTATTACAAATTAAAAGCAGTTTATTTTTAGCAATATTTAATTTTAGCGATCTCAAAACCCTCGCAAATAATGCCAAAATTAAATCCTCGCTAAAAATTCTGCTTATACGGTATATGCTTTCATCTGGAGGACAAGTAGGATTCAAACCCGCGACTTTAAACTTGGACATCCTCTCACTATGCCAACATATATATTGATCAAACACTCTACATGTAACCATTGCACCATGCAGGCAACAAAACTCACTTTATGTGAATGAACAATTATTGAATATTTCTTAAAATTATCATTTCAAAATCGAAAACGACTACCTCTAAATGTGTGTATGCCAACAATCCGACACAAACTAAAATCATAATTAAATTTTTCTCAGTGGAGAACAAAATTGTCTCAGATGATATTAAATTTCTTTTAATTTAACGTACATGCAGGCAATGACGAGAGGCGTGTATTGTCTGTGTTCCTTCATTTTGGGTGCCTCTGGATCTATATATCCAAACATACCACACATTTGCACTTCAACCTCTAGTAGTATGATATTATTAACAGAATTTGATTCAACTGTAAAAAAAAAAAAAATACATAACATAAAAAAAACTATTTGGGTTATAAAATGACCATCGGTCATTTGTTACTTCGAAAACAAAAAGCAAAAACAAAACAAAAACAAAACAAACAGATTATGACAATTGCACACCATAATGGCTCATCGGTCTTTCTTCGCTCTGAAATTTTGACACTAGTTAAGTATTTGATTTAAATGTCAGTCCAAATTCCCAGGGCTGCTTTTGTCAGAGAAAATAAGAAAATAAAGAAATGTGATAGTAATTTTAATCAACAGTGAAATGTATCATTTTGTCATTATGAAATGTATGCTTCTTGCGTTCTTTTATAATCAAAGTGGGAAAACATAGAGAGTATTGTTTTTAAACTATTTTTCACAAGTGAACGTAATTATAGATATAAATATACTACATATAATTAATCCCCACTTATATCTATGAAGTAATTTGCAGACAAAAACTTAATCAAAATTAAATTTTTTTAAATGAATTCTATTTTAAGTTTTCAATTCCATCCCACTCCGAAACGCAAAATTCTATTATTAATTTTAAAGAAAACTTACGGGACTTCCAGGCATGATTAATAAGTTCATCCTTTTTTCTGCATACGATTGGTCCTGTTGACATTATCTGCCCCATATCTTAATAAATAAAATAAATGAATTACAACAAATAAGGCCTTGTTACTTTCTAAAGTGAATATCAAGCTTATGCAGATACTTTAGGTGTATTGGCAAAAATTTGATATTTGAATACAGGACTTACTGGAAAATTAAGGCATATATGTAAATAATACTTAATGACATACCAATTTAATTCGTTCGTTTTAGAAAACATAATAAAGCATTGCTTTTTAAATCAGAATATCACATTTTCATATTAAATATCTAGAATATTTGATATTATCAAAAACGAAATATATAAAATATGCATTTCAAATGAAAAATACCTGACAGTTCATTAAAATGAATTAAAATAAAAAGAAATTCTACAACAAACTAACTTCTTCAAGACAATTTCAATGCTAGCTCTACGGTCCCATGCTGATTATTCCTTGTGTATATTTATTAATTGTTTACACGTCATTCTACTAAATTAAAAGGCTACAGAAGGTCTTCAGTTTAATTATTGTTTTAACAAAATGTATGAATACAAATGATTTTTCATGAATTATAGATTATGACGATTAAAAGAACATTTATGAAAAATGTTATGACAAAGATAGCGGTGACTCCTACCTGACGTGACTGTTGGTGTGTATGGTGGCCTATCATGGCAATAACGTACATCATAAAGAAAATATACTTTCCTTGGAAGATAATACTGAGTTATTTTGAACTAGCGCCGCCAATGAATTCAAAGTATGTTATTCTATTTCGTAAGCTTTTGAGCAAAGTTTTGCCAGAACGTTTACCTCCAAATTTATTTATAACAGTTTATTTTTATGTAACATATTTGATTTTAACAACACGAAAAATCCAAGTTATACCCTGTTCAATTTTACAACTGTTAACAGTGGTTGTGGTTTTCTTAAGGTTGAAAAGGAATTTCATCAAATCAATATCTTTTTTCCAAAAAGAAATATGTGTTGAAAAATCAAATCCTCCAAATATATATCTATACTCACTGATTGTGTTAAATTTTGAATTCATCAATTATTGTAAATATCTAATTCTTCCGAACAAATAACTAATTCGTCCGAACAAATAAAAATATTTTTTTACCTGGCCCTCCAGCGGTGCCGTAGATTCCTGACCCTTCCTTAAAAGGAAAAAAAAAATAATACTGCGTGGAAGCAGACTTCTTCCACATTGTTTTTTTTTCTGGTCACAATTTATTATTCATTTGACTTCAACCATCCCGAATAAATGTAAAACTTTCATTGGTAAAGATTGATGGCCAGAAACTATCCTTAGGCACATCATTATACAGGTATTTAAAAAAAATATAAACAATTTTTACTTGTATTTCCAAAACAAATTGTAATACTAGTACTCTTGACATGCAATAAAATTCAAATTTGAAATTGAAAAAGACAGTTTCTTGAAACGATAGAGGAATTTTTAACAACAATTGAATTTAACAAAAACGACGATAAAATCATATGGCGAATTTAAAAATTCTTCGTCATACATTTAAAAATCCCGGAGCTAGTCTGTTAGTAATAATTCACTAATTGAAAAAACTCCTTTTAAATATATTGATTGGGGAATCTGTAGTGACCAGTAAATAATTTATTTAATAACCTTTGTAAAAGAAAAAGTTACCACATTTCATAAGGCATTAGTCACCCTCAAATTGCAGGTATTTTTCGTTTGCAAATGAAAGCTCCTGGATTTAGGATTTGTTGAAAAGTAAGCACAATTAAAAAATATATATATATATATATATATATATATATATATATATATATATATATATATATATATATATATATATATATATATAGGGTAGTTTGAGAGTCTAAAATATATTCAATGTGTCGAAAAATAGTTTTTATTAACAGCCATTTAGATTTTGCACACAATATTAACAAGTCTGGTAAAAAACATACCTCGAGCTCAAATAAATAAATACATAAATAAATAAATAAATAAATAAATAAATAAACGAACATAATTTGATAATAAACCTGAGTCCCATGCATAACGGATGAGGTCCTCCTTTGTTTTACAGACGACTGGCCCTGTTGATATATATTGCCCCATAACTAAACGGATAGGAAAAATTCGAGCAATATTCTCTATAGAAATATGTATAAGAATGGAATTGCCCGACATCATATTTGAACTATTGGGTTGCTTCCAGTGTTGATATTTACATGTAGAAGTTTAGGCTTTACGGACCGTGGATATCGGCCTGGGTAGCTCAGTGGTTAGAGCACCTGACTAGTAATTCAGGGGTCCCGGGTTCGATTCCCGGTCCAGCCATATGTTTTCTTTGTGCATTTCTCCTTTCCTACTACATTTGGTGGCCAGTGTGGGGGCCTTGTTCGGGTTATGTGTAAATTAGTAATTCCTGGCAGGGCCCTAGAACTTGTGTCTTCGAGGTCGAAGACTGTTTAATGAGGGAGGAATGTAGAAGTTCAGGCTTTACGGACCGTGGATAGCGGCCAGGATAGCTCAGTGGTTAGAGCACCTGACTAGTAATGTAGGGGTCCCGGGTTCGATTCCCGGTCCAGCCATATGTTTTCTTCGTGCATTTCTCCTTTCCTACTACATACTGTTAAAAGTCGTAATTATGTCCTGAACTATGTATCGTACTATATATATTTAAAATTTTCATAAACAAGATAAAATAAAGAATTAAAACAACGACTAAAAAAATACAAATGAATTAATAATGAAAAATGACTAAATAAATAAAAAGGTATGGCAAACATATTTTATTTTACACACCTTTCGTCTTTTTTGTTGATCCTTAAATAGTTTATACAAAAATGGAAAAAATAGAACATTTAAAACGTTCTCTTACTTCTTTTTGGCATGTTTCCTGCAAAAAACCTAACAAGTGTCAAAACATAGTATTTGCAAAGAGTACAAATTAAATTTCTTATATGCGACAGTCCAAACATTCTATCAAAATTTTTAGAAATATAACAAGCCAAAGAAATGCTTGCATATTAATAAATGGACTGCCACGATAGGTGAAATTTTTTCAATGGGTACATATTTAACATGTATGACTAACAATGCACATCATAATGTGGCTTATAATGCATACCTCATTTGGTTATTTATTTTACCCATATGTATGACTGACAATGCACACTAATGTATGGCTTACAGTGCATACCTCATTTGATCAGTTATTTACCCATATGTATGACTAACAATGCACATAAAAGTGTGGCTTATAATGCATACCAAGCTACGTTTCAGAAATGTATAAATGAAATAAACAATAATTCGAGGGCAAAAGGATTATATGACTAACAATGCACACTAAGGTGACTTACAATGCATATATGGCATGTATGGCTAACAATGCACACTAAGGGTGGCTTACAATGCATACCAAATTTAAAGTTCAACAGTGCATACATATTCTAAACCTATGCACTAAATACAAAGATGATATGACTTACAATGCAACTTCAAGTGACTTACAATGCATATAAAACTGTATGACTAACAATGCACATGACAATGTGACTTACGATGCATACCTTAAAGTTAACTACTTGCGCTGAATAAAGGTGATATTTTTGCCTAAGCAATATCTGTTATTCCAATATGATTAACTATCTATGCACAGCAGCAATGTAGTACAAGCTATTTACTATTTAAACTTTGCATGACCAAAATTTTTTGCAACTGCGCATGCATGATATCTAAATTTTAATTGTACCTATATTTTCGAGCATAACTTTGTTAGCTTTCAATGATTAGAATTACATGTTGTCCTTGAAATATTAAAGTAAATGTCACTTGTAACTCCTCACTTGTAGTTGCAATTTAAATGATAAAATAAATATAATAATGTATAGCTCTATTGCAAATTACTGAACCATGGAGTACTACAATCTATGTGACACTGATAAATACATGTATTTCATCATGGAGTACAGGTACTATAAGATTCATTCTTGTTAATTATTGCTTTCATTAATTAGATTTGAATAAGCATGACTATATTTATGAATTACTGGCCTTGACAAAAGCATGGCATAATACAGCACTTCTAATGCTCCTCAAATACTTTCTCATTGGAGCGGAGTTGTTGCTGCTACAGGCAATGTGTACACCATCTGGCCCTAGGTAGGACAAGTCCCTCCAAAACCCCCTGTGGTGCCAAAAATAAATACCATCCTCCTGTTTCGTTTCCTGAATCAGAATCTCATTAATATGCACTATCTTTGCGTTGAAATTCGGATCAGAGGTTGTCCACGGCTGTCTTCGCAGCAGTTGTCCAATTATGACACGTTGAATTCCGACCCCCAGATGCAGATAACGCGCTATTGATAGAATGTTTCTGGCAATTATCACTGGGCACCCTGACTCTGACGAGGCGTCATTACTCCCGATTTGTAGGAAGCAGACACGCGGTGGGGGGTCAGCAAATGTAATCAGATCCGCGCACTGCACAAGTTTGCGCGTCGTAAGGCCTCCTTTAGCCCGAATGTCCAAAGCGAATTTGTCACTGTCTAACTTTAGATTACACACATCCTCATTTTCATTCATAAAGTCTCGAAGACGTCTTATATAAGAATGTCCCAACAGGCACACACTAACTTTCTCCTCTGCATCCATCGTCTTAAAAGAGGGAACTCCTGTCACTTCCTAGGGCACTGATGGATTACCATACACGATTTATAAAAGAACTTACTGTGCACAAGTATTCTCTGTCGCACTTTAAATTCCACAAATCGATCGCAGACTAACTTGAATTAAAGTTGTAGAACGCCAACACTTGGAAAACCCTTCTTACTGCGATCGAAACAAAACAAAAAGTGACGTAGAATCTACACTCAGTGTCTCTTCTGATTGGTTGATAAAATTACCCCCTATCGATCGCTCTAATATTGACATAAAATCAAAACCCGGATAAAAACGGATTGATAAGCCTGATAACAGTAAAAACTTTGAATATCATTACATGAGTACATAAATGCTATTATTTACAATAATGCAGTTGCCTTCCTGCAAATATTTGCTGCAAGTCTGCAGCAAACATTGCTGCAAGCTTGCAGCAGACGTTGCTGCAAGCTTGCGGCAATGTAGCCAAAGAAAGCATGACTATCTATACAAAGCCTTGGTGTTTGCAGCAAGTTAGCGGCAAGTCTGCAGCAAGCTTACTGCAAACATTTTACCATGCAAATGAGGTTTGCTGCAAGCCTGCAGCAAACATTGGATTTTCCAAATATGGAAACCTTGCTGCAACCTTGCGGCAAACATTGCTGCGAGCCTGTCGCAAACATTGCTGCAAGCTTGCGGCAATCATTGCTGCTAACTTGCAGCAAACAATTTCCTTATGGTTTTGGCACATTCCTTTGTACAAGCAGCAAGTTCACAGAAAGCTTTTGCTCTGACCTAAATCTGTTAAGTTTAGAGAAAATCCACCACATGTTTCTGAAATGATACACTTTTATGAAGTTTTGATAGACCCTCTTTATGTTCCTAGACAAAGTTTTCATACTTTTTTAAAATTAAAGTGCATGATTGCTTTTTATATGAATAGAACTTTAAGAACTTTATATATAATTTTTTATTGAATATTATCGTGATTACACAGTTACTAATTAATTTGAAAACATTTAACTGATTTGGGTCCATTAATACATTTAAGAAGTATACATATGTGATATTAAAAAGAGGACTGAAATTCATAATAAACAGATTTAGATTTGACCTAGCATTTACACCAGTTACTCAAACGTGCTTTTAAGAAATATTCTTTCAAATATCAAAATAAATCAAAATCATTTCTTACCAATTAGATATCATGGATGCCAATAAACACCTACATCCAGAGTTTGGCACTTTTAATCATTCAAAACGGGGTATATTCCTAACAAAATACTGAAACGTGTACAACTTCAATTCAAACATTTCAAAATGGCCAGTTTTGTGTTGACCCAGTACAATCTGCATTTCATTGGCTGATTTGACTTGTTTACTGTTCTTGCGAACTTCCTGCAAACATTCGAATATTGAAATGTTTCCTGCGAACTTGCTGCGAACATTAAATTGGCGTGTATGTTTCTTGCAATGTTCCAGCAAACATTTTGGGTTCCTGCGAATTTGCTGCAAGCTTGCAGCAATTGCTGCAATGTTTGCCGCAAGATCGCAGCTAGCGGCAATCATCTGCGAACAAGAAAATTTTCTTCCTGCGAACAATTTTGTTTGCTGCAAGCTTGCAGCAGACTTGCTGCAGGCCTGCAGCAAACATATCAGTTTGGTAAGGGGGGACATCCCTATTTATTTTTACCACAAGATATTTATTTATTTCTAAAAGAAAATTAGCTCCATACAAAGAATGATATCGATTTCAGATACATATTTACCGGAAGGGGTTATAGATGTGGTCGGCAAGGTATGTTCACTCCTCCATGGAACCTGATCCCACCTCTGATGTTTTGGAGGTCAGTTTTTGCTCTGCTCTTAATTCATATTCTTTTATGGACTTTTGATTTTGAATACTGTTCGTTATCTATCTCCATGTTTCATGTAGGATAAAACCTGAGACGTCTGATTACTACTATTACGTTTTTCTGGTTTTATCCTACATCTATAATCCTGGATGTATTTCATTCGATGTTTTACTTTGTATCGAGGAAATTTTTGCGAAATAAGTGAGTGTTTTACAGTAAAGATGCTCGATCAGAGTCTTCTTCAACGATTTAATTGACAAGAAAAAGTCTCACGAAGGGATCGGTGTTATTTTAAAGTAGGTTAATGATTAATATACCGGGTATATCAATGAAATACATGCTTGAAGTGGGGTTACCTGAAATAGAGTTAGGTATGTCGTGGTAAAAATAAGTAGGGATTCCCTTTATATGAAATAAGTGCCCGTGGAACATGTACTTAATAAAGATACAATTGAAGATACGAAAAGATCCGAAAAGAGAAAAGACTATCGGTTATGTCTCGTATATTTGACACTTAAAATACATAAGATGTGTTCTTAAAACACTGATACACCCCGCACGGCAGCTTATAGCTAGAGTTGAAGTTTCTCAAATGCAAGTCAAACTCCAAGGTCAATATTAATAGGTCAAAATTGTTGGTATCCAAAAATAGGTCTTGTAACAATGAATACACCAGTGAAATATGAAAGCCTTAGTACTTACTATTCAAAAGTTATTGCCAAGGTTAAAGATTTATAAAAGTTATATTAAACTCTAAGGTCAAGAAGACAAAATATACCTATTGAAGGTCCTGTCCTTGTCACAAAGAATGCAAATGTGACGTACGAAAGTTCTAGCACCAACTGTTCAAAAGTTATGGCCAAGGATAATTAAAAAATGTTTAAAGTGGATTAAACTCCAAGGTCAATGTCAAGAGGAAAAATTTAATGGTATCCTGAGAAAGGTCTTGTCACAAAGATTATACCTTTGAAATATGATAGCCATAGCCCCACCCATTCAAAAGTTATGACCAAGGTTGAAATTGGTTTTTGTGAAAGACAGACGAACGGGCGGACAGGTCAAAGTTATCTGATATGTTTTTGTATTATAAATATCATATACGTAACATTCATACATTTAAAGTAATATACGCCGTATGGATGCCGATTTGTATGTGAAACAAAATGATTAAATGATTTGAAACACATAAAGTGTAATGAAAAAATAATATTTCCACAAAATTTAACTATAAAACTCGTTGTAATAACAGAACAATAAGGCAATATCTGGCATCAAGAATTCAGTCTTTTCATGAATATTGATAAAGGAAGTGCGTTAGGTCTAAATATAGACACGTATGTCCACGGGAAATTATAGACAATGAGGCACGTTGCATTTTGACAACGATTATTAATAAAAGGTTAATATGCGTCATAACAGAGTATAGATGGTTGATACTGATTACATTTAAAGATAAGTTATATTAATAGTAACACGCCATCCATGTCAAAAGTGAGTTGTATCTCAAAGGGCTTACCTCGTTTTCTTGACGCCGTGTTTGTTTATCAATCTAAAAGTAGCGACGGCGTCACGTGGTGGATTTACTTAAAAATAGACATTATTCTCCTTGCAGGATAATAAATAATTATAATTTGATAACTTTATAACGAATTTTATTTAAATGGTGTAATTTACAGCATTTTCGTAACTTTTATTGGTAAACAAAATATATAAATTTCCAGCCGTATTTTAAAATGGCGCACGTTATAGCGTATATTACTTTAAATTAAGAATTTATCTTTATGAAACTCCCATCCTAATTACCATCTAGGTTTGCATTTTATAACAGTATTATTTAAGTCAAAGATATTCCTCAATTTTAGGTATTCCTTTAATAGAAGTGGAATTGGTAACTTGTCTACGAAAGGAAATATTGATGTATCTTTACTAAGTATCCGCAAATGCTTTCTTATCATTGAACGGCAACATTGTTTTAAACTTAGTGGCTCCTCCACATTTACGCCATTTCTTTTAAGTTCTCTCTTATAATATTCGTTGTTTGTATCGTCACTTGTGAAGTGGTAACCAGCCCCAATAAAAGTTTGTAAGAAGGTTTTAAAATTTACACAATCCATGCTAAGGTAAAGACTACTATGCTGGGAAAATTGCTGCAAAACATCCTTGAGCTTATACAGGTCTGGATCGACGCCATGTTGAAGAAGAAGTACAGCTGTATCACAAGTAAAACATGGTCCCGGAATATTCAGTCGGGTAGGACGATTGGCCTCATAGACTTTACCTCTCCTGAAAACAATGATGACATACAGTAGTTATTTAATTAGACGGTAATTTTCACCTTCGGCAGATGCCAAGAATATTATATTCACCACTGTGATCTAAATAGACCTTCCTTAAGGTCAAGATATATTATTTTTTTTAAATGATTCCAAGCCTATTAGTATCAAACTATATATATATTATAGTTTATAATATATATAAATAATGAGAATGAAAACTGAAAAAATAAAAGGTAGGATATTCTTTGAGCTTTTGGGTCATGAAATAGATCTTATCTTTCTTATTCAATTATACTTGTGTAATGTGTTGAGCAAATTTGTTCAAATCCACCTCTGTTTCGATTATTTGTTAGCATTATGCTGGCAAAAACAACTCTGTTGATCACATTTCTCTCTTTTCTCTTAGTTACAAATCTTTATTATGTATTTTAGAAATATGATTCTATTCCATATAAGTATTTTTTCTTACCCATAAAAAAGACAGGGACCCCAAAATGTTGTATTTAATTTCACTCCTGCTGATAAATATAGCTCTAGGATTTTTATCATACAGGCCGATGAGTCTCGTAAAGAATAACTAGGTTCAATAATGCTGTAAACCTCATTCCTTGGTTCTTGAAGGTTGATGAACTGCATGCGCCCTTTATATCCGTTTACGTCAGCACCTAGCAGTAGTCAAAACTGTTAAGGTTCATCCACAATATGATAAGAAAGACAACACTTTTGGGGGAATTAATGCTGACTGATGTTTTTCATACTTATTGTTAGTCCATTATTTATACAGTGAATTGACGACGGATTTTTCCGTTATTTATCAATCGGTACAAGGAGCACACGGGCGGATGTGACCTGTCGACAGGGGATGCTCACTCCTCCATGGTACTTGATCCCACCTCCGATGTTTTGGTCCGTTTTGTCCTGCTCCTATTCAGTATTGCTTTATGGACTTACGTATTGAATACTTAAAATTATGTGCGGTATGGTTTTATTTAGTATGTTCGAAAAGTTTTCCTTTGAAGTGACGACTAGCGAGGATTTAAAGATTGCAAGAAGGATAGTAATGCAATGGAGTGTAATGAATTTGGGATATATAATTAGATAAATAAAATGATTATGTATTAGAATTGAATAAAAGCACTAGCGAGCAGCGTTCCTACATAACATGTCTTTTGTTTTAGCATATTCATTTAGCACTTCATTAATTTATATTCGGACGAACGAAGTGAGGGAGAATATAATGTTCGTTATCTCCATATGTCTTACGCCATTCAATTAATTTTTTTTTCCATTTAGTATTTTCGAGAAATTTCCTCAGTACAAACATCATCATCATCATTTATTTGATGCAAAAAAATTGACAAGTAAAGAAAAGAGAGAAACTTAGAAAGTTCGCTCAGACTCTTAAGATTTATCTTTGATTGTAATTATTAATGAAAATTGAGATCAGAATCTCCAGTCAAAAGTATTTAAGCATTTTTCTGTCATTTGAATAAAGCTATGCCAGTGCCAGTGCCAAATAGTCAATCCCCCCTGACTGGACCTGAGACCTCAGAACCACATGCACCTGATATTACTTATTTTTCTGATATAAAGAAAAAACCCATTATCTAATAATGCACGTACATTATTAGGTATGGAGTTAATTAATTATTTAATATAAGTCAAATACGTAACGTCATGTGCCTATGCTCAAAACACAGCATCTTCATAAAATATATGGAGATAACGAACAGCACTCAAGATGAAAACATCAGAGGTGGGATCAGGTGCCATGGGGGAGTGGGAATCCCCTGCCGACCGGTAACACCCGCCGTGTGCTCCTTGTCATGATCAAGAAATAAAGGAAAAATCCGTCGTCAATTCAATGTATGAATAATGGACTAACAATTAGTATGAAAAATGTCAGTCAGCATTTGACTCAGTGATAAATTGTATTTGCTGACAAGGTCATTGTATCGACCATAGAACTTACGAAATGATGACTTTAAACGAGACTGCTGATATTCTTGTTTCATCAACTTGTTTGTCAATAATTTACCTCGTTTTTGAAATTGTTCATACATAGAAACTGGTCTTGCGTATCGAATCAACTGAGATATACAAACTCCGCGTGCAGGTGATGAAGGTATATTGCTGCATAAGCAAGGGAAGTTGCATAAGCAACAGAATCTTTGTACACACTGCCTGATGTAGGTCATATGTTATAATTATATTTTAACTAAAGATTTAATTATGCTTTAAAATATATGTTTCCATACTCTTTAAAATGGGCATCCTTTTCAAGTCATACCTGAATCTAATAATAACTTTACTATATCTGCATCTCTCGCTGTTGTTGCATAGTACAAGGGCGGCACTGCTTCTTCCAATGATTTATGTTTATATTCCCGTGGGCGTAAATTAATGTCCGCCCCTGCCTCAATGAGTTTATGAACTAACTTTTTATCACAAAACCTGAAATTTAATAAAACTATATTAAAGATTGTTTAACGTCTTTTTGATAATTTTTCTCACTGATATTGAGTTGCCAACATTTTCCAATGGAGACCTGCAAAAGATCTTTATTCGGCACTGAAGACATTTGATTTTGAGCAGTGAAGGATTTTTGTGCTGCCAGATCACACTGCATGCAACATGGGCCTCTATTTATATGCTTTCCTCTGAAGGACAAGTAGGATTTAAACCCGCGACGTTAAGACTCGGACACCCTCTCACTCTGCCAACATATATATAGAGCAAACACTCTACATATACCATGCAGGCAACAAAACTCACTTTATGTGTATGAACAATTATTGAATATTTCTTCAAATTATCATTTCAAAATCGAAAACGACTACATCTAAATGTGGGTATGCCAAGAATCCGACAAAAACTAAAATCATAATTAAATTTTTCTCAGTGGAGAACAGAATTGTCTCAGATAATACTGAATTTCTTTTAATTTAACGTACATGCAGGCAATGACGAGAGGCGTGTATTCTCTGTGTTCCTTCGTTTTGGGTTTCTCTGGATCTATATATCCAAACATACCACGAATTTCCACTTCAACCTCTAGTATTATGATATCATTCACAGAATTTGATTCAACTGTAAAAAAAAAATACATAACATAAAAAACTGTTTGGGTTATAAAATGACCATCTGTTATTTGTTACTTCGAAAACAAAAAGCAAAAACAAAACAAAAACAAGAGGTCCAGGGGCTCCATCGCTCACCTGAGCTCTGACTATGTAAAACTAAAAGCAAAATCAGTTCAGTTTCTGAAAGTTAAATATTAAAGTGGGTTCCATTGGGATAATGATTTGAACAAACTTGAATCTTCACCACATGAGGATGCTTCCATATAACTATGACCAATAATGGCTTTGCTGTTCTTGAGGAGAAGATTTTTAAAGATTTTCCCTGGGCACTCCTATGTTACACTTTGACACCCTATCATGGCTCCACCATACCCCTGGGGGTCATGATTTATATCAAACTTGAATCTACACTACCTGAGGGTGCTTCCACATGAGTTTCATCTTTACTGGCCCAGTGGTTCTTGAGAAGAAGATTTTTTAGTTTTTCCCTATGCATTCCTATGTTAAACTTTGACCCCCCCCCTCCTTCATGGTCCCACCATACCCCTGGGGATTATGATTTGAACAAACTTGAATCTACACTACCTAAGAATGCTTCCAAATAAGTTTCATCTTTCCTTGCTCAATGGTTCTGGAGAAGAAGATTTTAAAAGATTTTCCCTATATATTCCTATGTAAAATTTGATCAGCCATTGTGGCCCCGCCCTACCCCCGGGGATCATGATTTGAACAAAGTTGAATCTACATTACCTGAGGATGCTTCCAAATAAGTTTCATCTTTCCAGGATCAATGGTTCTGGAGAAGATTTTTAAAAGATTTTTCCTATATATTCCCATGTAAAACTTTGATTAGCCATTGTGGCCCCGCCCTACCCCCGGAGGTCATAATTTGAACAAACTTTAATCTACACTACCTGAGGATGTTTCCACATGAGTTTCATCTTTCCTGGCCCAATGGTTCTGGAGAAGAAGATTTTTAAAAGATTTTCCCCATATATTCCTATGTAAAACTTTGATCAGTCATTGTGGCCCCGCCCTACCCCCGGGGATCATGATTTGAACAAAGTTGAATTTACATTACCTGAGGATGCTTCCAAATAAGTTTCATCTTTCCAGGATCAATGGTTCTGGAGAAGAAGATTTTTAAAAGATTTTTCCTATATATTCCCATGTAAAACTTTGATCAGCCATTGTGGCCCCGCCCTACCCCCGGAGGTCATAATTTGAACAAACTTTAATCTACACTACCTGAGGATGTTTCCACATGAGTTTCATCTTTCCTGGCCCAATGGTTCTGGAGAAGATTTTTTAAAGATACCATTAATTTTTCATTTATTTGTAATTATCTCCCCTTGGAAGAGGGTTTGGCCCTTTATTTGAATAAATTTGTATCCCCTTCACCCAAGGATGCTTTGTGGCAAGTTTGTTGAAATTGGCGAAGTGGTTCTCGAGAAGAAGATGAAAATGTGAAAAGTTTGCAAAACGACTAAGACGCCGACGACAGACAATGGACAAATGTTGATCAGAATAGCTCACTTGAGCCTTCAGATCAGGTGAGCTAACAAACAAACAGATTATGACAATTGCAAATCGTAATGGCTCATCTATCTTTCTTCGCTCTGAAATTTTGACACTAGTTACTAGTATTTGATTTAAATGTCAGTCCAAATTCCCAGGGCTGCTTTTGTCAGAGAAAATAAGAAAATAGAGAAATGTGATAGTAATTTTAATCAATTTAGTGACGTGTATCATTTTGTCATTATGAAATTTATGCTTCTTACGTTCTTTTATAACCAAAGTGGGAAAACATTCAGAGTATTGTTTTTTTAAACTTTTTTTCACAATATAATTAATATACATATACATAGATATAAATGTACTACATATAACTAATCCCGATTTATATCTATGAAGTAATTTGCAGACAAAAACTTAATTAAAATTAAATTGTTGTTTTTAATTAATGAATTCTATTTTAAGTTCCCAATTCCTTCCCACTTCGAAACGCAAAATTCTATTATTAATAAACTTAAAGAAAACTTACGGGACTTCCAGGCATGATGAAGCAGTTCATCCTTTTTTCTGCATACGATTGGTCCTGTTGACATTATCTGCCCCATATCTTAATAAATAAAATAAATGAATTACAACAAATAAGGCATTGTTACTTTCTAAAGTGAATATCAAGCTTATGCAGATACTTTAGGTGTATTGGCAAAAATTTGATATTTGACTGACATAAATACAGAACTTACTGGAAAATTAAGGTATATATGAAAATAATACTTAGGTAATTCCACCCTCCTATGATGTCATAGGTTTTTACAAAACTGTAATTAATTTTAATTCATACCTAATAAAACAATATCTCTTGGAAGAATGCTTTACAATAGGTGTAATGATAGATATTGTTTAGTTTAAGAATTTAAAAAATGCATATTTTCTATATTTAATCAATTATTCAATCTTTAAAAAATGTTGACAAGGGCAATAACTCCTTCTAATTAAGATCTCTTCATTCAGGCATTTGCTTTATTGTAAAATAGTTTCCCTGATATTCACAATTCAAAAGTATCTTTTAAGTAGGAATAATTTAGGAACACTCAGCATCGGAATTATGCATTTTAACCAGTTTTTACATATTTTTCACAATACTGTTTACAAAAAATGTGCGATTTTTTATGTTGACATACACTTCTGTTTATTTATGTTTCGCATCTTAAATAATACGGTGACCTATACATTTTTTGCAATAATTGGAAAGTTTAAAGTATATTAAATGAAAATAAAAGCATTTTTTAAACTTTGAACCTATAAATTTGTGAGGGTGGAAACACCTTAATGACATACCAATTTAATTCGATCGTTTTAGAAAATATAATAAAGCGCTGCCTTTTATATCAGAATATCACATTTTCATATTAAATATCTAGAATATTTGATGTTATCAAAAATGAAATGTATTAAATATGCATTTCAAACGAAAAATACCTGACAGTTCATTAAATTAAATTAAAATAAAAAGTAATTCTGCAACAAACTATCTTCTTCAAGACAATTTCAATGCTAGCTTTATGGTCCCATGCTGATTATTCCTTGTGTATATTTATTAATCGTTTACACGTCATTCTACTAAATTAAAAGGCTACAGAAGGTCTTCAGTTTAATTATTATTTTAAACAAAATGTATAAATACAAATGATTTTTTATGAATTATAGATTATGACGATTAAAAGAACATTTATGAAAAATGCTATGACAAAGATAGCGGATACTCCTACCTGACGTGACTGATATCAGTGTGTATGGTGGCCTGTCATGGCAATAACGTACATCATAAAGGAAATATACTTTCCTTGCAAGATAATACTATTATTGTTATTGTAAGCTAGCAGCGCCAATGAATTCAAAGTATGTTATTCTATTTCGTAAGCTTTTGAGCAAAGTTTTGCCAGAACGTTTACCTCCAAATTTATTTATAACAGTTTATTTTTATATTTGATTTTAACAACACGAAAAATCCAAGTTATACCCTGTTCAATTTTATAACTGTTAACAGTGGTTGTGGTTTTCTTAAGGTTGAAAAGGAATTTCATCAAATCAGTATCTTTTTTCCGAAAAGAAATATGTGTTTCTATGTTATTCTATTTCGTAAGCTTTTGAGCAAAGTTTTGTCAGAACGTTTACCTCCTAATGCATCTATAACAATTTATTTTTATATAACATTTGAATTTAAAAACATGAAAAACAAGTTATACCCTGTTCAATTTTACAACTGTTAACAGTGGTTGTGGTTCTCTTAAGGTTAAAAGATAATGATAAGGAATGTCATCAAATCATTATCTTTATTCCGAAAAAAAATATGTGTTTAAAAATCAAATCCTCCGAATATATATCTATACTCACTGATTGTGTTAAATTTTGAATACATCAATTATTGTAAAAGTACAGTTCATGTATGTTAAAATCTCACATAAAGATATTTAGGGACAAAATGAAAACCATCTATCCTTTTGTGTTCAATAATTCATAACTACTGGGTTGTAAATTTGGATTCATATCAAAGACAACAAGCATACCAGAAAGTGTTAATAAAGATTCCATACAATCTGTTTTCAAATCATTTTTAAAGAAAACTGAATCAGTAAAATGGTCAGTTTCAACACCTTTTTTAAATAAAATAACGTAAAACAAAATTGGACTTCGTTATTTTGGCTAACATTGCATTCTTGTACATCGCAATAAAGTGCAATTCGTATTAAGATATTAAGCTTTAGTAATTCTCAGGTAAATGAAGAATTTACTCATCAGTAAAAGAAGTGTCCATGTCCATGATTTCTCCTGGATGTTTTCCCAAACCAGTTGTTCGATAAAGAAAGATATAGTAGTGCATCTGTATTTTTTTATTGTTAATTTTGAAACGATTAAAAGAGTACAAATATTTAAAATTGTGAGTAAAAAATAAACCCCTATTCAGTCTTTTGTTTTTAATTTTCTTTTTCAGAATATATGAAATTTTAAAAAAAACTGTTGATTTTTCAATTTGAGTTTAATTGATTTGGAATTATTTTTTTTTCTTTTTGATTGACATTGCATTCTAGTCCATTGTAATAAGTGACATTTAATTCTCATTAAGATGAGCAGGATTAATTCTCTTGAAAATAAAATAAAATATTTTAGAAAATGTTAATATAAAAAAAAAAAAAAAAACAATCCCATCAAGTCTGTTCTTTAAAGATTTTCTTTTCGTTTTCGCATAGCTTGGATTTTCAATCATATTTTGAATTCAATTTCAAAACATATGAACCAAGTTTATTTTGAATGGTCAATTTGCAAGGCATTACAATGTGTTGCATTGTATTGCAGCAGAGTGCAGTATCCTTCCATGAGACTTTTATTTAAACAAGCACAATTTTCCTTGTCAATGTATTGGAAATACTCTCCCACCATCCACCCTCAGCCGACAGCTTCTATATACATTTTCCCCTTGCCACTTATTTCAAGTTGTGAAATTTGCATAATGTAAGTTTGTTACAAAGTTCGATAATTCAAATTATGGCCCTTTGAACAACGTAGATAAAACTATCTTCTCTGCTTTATATTATGCAAATGTCCAGTAACTGCTTACAGGCAGCAACTTTGTAAACTATATAAAACTTCAGAGAGCCATTTCCAGAGTGATCAAATGTTAACGTTATAGTGACACGGTAATGTCACATGTAAAGTTTGCTTTTAGTGTGAGTTTATCTCATTAAACAAGTACTGCTACGTTTGGTTGTTCTACGTTGTTAATAATTTGCCAAACAAGAAATTCATTTGTTTTTCGCTGTTTTGCATGTTTATTTAAAAGGAAAATTAATTAGCTTGCAATTAAAAGAACTGCACTAGTACTCACACACCAAATTTCCTCTGGATGTTTCGCGTATATCCTATCAGTTTTATCCACCGGGTATAAAAAAAATCAGCAAAACTAACTGTTGAATTGATGAGAACTCAGTCCCAGATTAAATTCTGTTATCCTCCTTGATGGATATTTGCATCATTCTCAAAATTTCTAATCATCGTCAAACACTAGGATTCTATATCTAACATTGCATTCTTGTACAGTGCATTAAAGTGCAATTCGTTTTAAGATAAGTTATTAAAATAGGAATTCTCAGGTAAAGAAATTAACTCATCTGTCAAAGAAGAGTGTTCATTTCCCCAGGATGTTTTCGCATAAACAAACTAGTTGTTTGATAAAAAAAAACGTAATGCATAATTTTATCGAAAAGTCTTTCGATAAAAATTTTTATTGTTAATTTTTTTAAAATACGCATAAAAAAGTACCTATATTTTAAAAAAGAGTACCAATATTTGAAAATTGTGAATTAAAAATAATTCCCTCTTCAGTTTTCTTTTTTTATTTTCTTTTTCAGAATACATGAAATGAAAAATGTGTTGATTTTTCTATTCTAATTGAATTGGACTTATTTTTCGTTTTGATTGAGATATTGCATTCTTGTCCAGTGTAACAAGTGCCATTTAATTCTCAGTAAGATAAGCAGGATTAATTTTCTTGAAAATAAAAAAAATCCACTCATCAGTCAAAGACAAAAGTTTTCGTTTTGCTTGAATTTGTTGCGCATACTAATACTTGTCAGTTGATAAAAATCATCAATACGTAACTTTGTCACAGTCTTTCGACACAATCACTGATACTTAATTTTGATTCCTATCAATGAGAACAAATATTTAAGAAAATGTGAATCTAAAAAAACTATCCCATCAAATCCGTTCTTTGAAAACTTTTTTTAAAAAAAAGTGTGGATTATCAATCATATTTTGAAATCATTTAGAAGACAAATTAACCAATTTCATTTTGAATGGTCAATTTGCAAGGCATTTCACATGTTACAATGTGTTTCATTGAATTGCAGCAGAGTGCAGTATCCTTCCATGATACTATTATTTAAACAAGCACAATTTTCCTTGTCAATGTATTGAAAATACTTCCCCACCACCCACCCTCCGCAGGCAGCCTCTACATACATTTTTCCCTTGCCACTTATTTCAAGTTGTGAAATTTGCATAATCTAAGTTTGTTACAAAGTTCGATAACTCAAATTATGGCCCTTTGAACAACGTAGATAAAACGATCTTTGCTCTCTGCTTTATATTATGCAAATGTCCAGTAACTGCTTACAGGCGGCAAGTTTGTAAACTATATAAGACTTCAGAGAGTCATTTTCAGAGTGTTCAAGTGTTAACGTTAGAATGACTTACCGTAATGTCACATGTAAAGTTTGGTTTTAGTGTGAGTATATCTCACGAAACAAGTATTGCTACAATAAAAGCAGTATTGAAAAGTGCGTTTGATTGTTCTACGTTGTAAATCGGCGTTTCGTTTGACTGAGTCTCAATATCTCTATTCATTTGCCAAACAAGAAATTTCATTTGTTTTTCACTGTTTCCACACCCCAACATGTGCACAAAGCAACAAAATGTAACTGTATTTTAAAGTGTTTTGTCGATATTATCGATTGCTAATGCAGATTATAAAGTAAGAGAACAACCCCGTTAATTTTATCATATATATTATTTTAAATAAATGTAGGACTAGATATTAAAATGAGTACGTTTTCAACTTATTTTTTATAAACTCACACTTGAATTAATATTGACCAAGTATGTTTAGAATAGACAACTCCAATATACGCCAAATTTCCTCTGGATATTTCGCGTATATCCTATCAGTTTTATATACCCGGTATTAAAAAATCAGCAAAAGTAACAGTTGTTTTGATGAGAACTCAGCTCCAGATTAAATTCCGTTATCCTCCTTGGTGGATATTTGCATCATTCTCAAAATTTCTAATCATCGACAAGCACTAGAATTCTATATCTAACATTGCATTCTTGTACAGCGCATTAAAGTGCAATTCGTATTAAGATAAGTTATTAAAATAGGAATTCTCGGGTAAAGAAATTAACTCATCTGTCAAAGAAGAGTTTTCATTTCTCCTGGATGTTTTCGCTTAAACAAGCTAGTTGTTTGATATAATTAAAAAAAGTAAGGCATAACTTTATCGAAAAGTCTTTCGATAAAAATTGTCATTGTTAATTTTAATACGTATAAATGAGTACCAATATTAAAAAGAGTACCAATATTTAAAAATTGTGAATTAAGAATAATTCCCTATTCAGTCTTAATTTTTTTATTTTCTTTTTCAGAATATATGAAATTAAAAATGTGTTGATTTTTCTATTTTATTTTAATTGAATTGGACTTAATTTTTTTTTTCGTTTTGATTGACATATTGCATTCTTGTCCATTGTAATCAGTGCCATTTAATTCTCAGTCAGATATGGAAGATTAATTCTCTTGAAAATAAGAAAAAAATCCACTCATCAGTCAAAGACAACTTTTCTTTTTGTTTGGATTTGTTGCGCATACCAGAACTTGAATTGTCAGTTGATAAAAATTATCAATACGTAACTTTGTCAAAGTCTTTCGACACAATCACCAATACTTAATTTTGATTCCTATCAACGAGAACAAATATTTAAGAAATTGTGAATCTAAAAAAAAACTATCCCATCAAATCTGTTCTTTGAAAACTTGTTTTTCATATAGTGTGGATTATCAATCATATTTTGAATTCATTTACAAGACAAATTAACCAATTTGCAAGGCATTACAATGTGTTGCATTGTATTGCATAAAAATGCAATTCCTTAAAGACACTTTTATTTAAAGAAATGTTCATTTCTCCATCCACTTTTTTCAGGCAGCCTCTAAACAAACATTTTTCCCTTGATATTTCAAGTTGTGAAATTTGCATAGATAAGTTTGTTACAAAGTTGAAACAAATTATGGCCCTTTGAACAACAAAGGTAAAAAAATCCTTGCTCTCTGCTTTATATTATGCAAATGTCACAAGGTAACTGACCTTGGTGTCAAGTTTGTAACCTATATAAGACTTGGAGAATCATATCAAATATAAAGTGATATCTCTCAAGCTTCAAAAGTGATGGCACGTTCAAAGTTAGGAAAAAGCTGAGTTTTTAGCAAATAGGTCACAGTCAATAAAAGGTCATTGAGCGCGTTTGATTGTTCTACATTGTAATCGGCGTTTCGTTTGATTGAGTTTCAAAATCTCTATTCATTAGCCAAACAAGAAATTTCAATTGTTTTTCCACTGTTTTACATAAAAGTTATGGAGAACAAAATGTAACTCTAACACAGATTTTGACAGATATTAACTGCTAATCAGATACAAAGTTAGAGAACAACTCAGTTAATTTTATCTAATATTTATGAATAAACGTAGGCAGAACACAAAATATGAAAATGAGTACATTTTCATTTTCATAAACATGATAAAATCACACCTGAGTTAATATTGACCAAGTACATTGTACGTTTCGAATATACAATACATGTACCTCAAGCAGTACATTGCAATGCACTGAATTGACATGCTTATTTAACCGGGAATTTGTTAGATTACCAAAACTTGCATTGTCCTTGATAAAAATCATCAACATCGTAACTTTGTCAAAGTGTAAGGCACAATTATTTAAATTAATTTTTTTAGAAATGAAAACATTTATATTTAAGAAAGTTTTAATCCAAAAACACCCATAAATCTTTTCTAAGCAAAACTTGTTTTTCAAAATCATATGTGGATTATCAATATATTTAAATTATTACAACATCTTAAACGATTTTTAATTAATATATCTCGTATATTAATGGATTCCAAAACTTCATAAAAAACCTTACAAAGATACATACATATAAAGCGGGTTCCAGTTATTGTTTACGTCGGCCTCTTCTTTAACTTCTCGCTATAATATTAACAGTAGTGAAGGAGAAACTTCAAGAGAACTGTGCAACAATATATTTGAGAAGTGGTGTTAATCAGACGAGATACCAAAAAATTCCAAGGAAATTTTGAAACATATGAAATCACAAAATCTTACCAAAATCAACAAAATAAAAACTTTATTACAAAGTTAATTTATATACAAATTATGCCCTTTGAAAATTAAAGTCCATGCTTTTGCTATTGAAAGCTGCTTTTATTATGCAAAAAAAAAAATGGAATTTGTAAATTTATATAAGGCTTTGTCATTGGTCATTTGCAGGACTGATTAAGTGTTAAACCAAAGTTGTATACACAATGTTACAAGTAAAGATTGCTTTGAAAAGATGTTTACTTTCTGACTAAACAATATCTATAATATAAGCAGTCTTTGAAAATATTTTGATTGTTCTGCATTGTAAATCGGCGTTTTGTTTGATTGAGTCTCGAAATCTCTATTCATTTGCCAAACAAGAAATTCCATTTGTTTTTCACTGTTTTGCATACCCCAACAAGTGCACAAAGCAACAAAACGCAACTTTATTATGAAGTACTTTGTCAATATTCCATTGTTAATTCAGATACAAAGTAAAAAAGCTAATCCGTTAATTTTATCTGAAAATTATAAATTCAATGCACTACAGTGTAGTTATGTTTATTGAAAATTAATTAGCTTGCAATTGAAAGAACTCCACTCACACCAAATTTCAACTGGATGTTTCGCATATACCCAATCAGTTTTAGGGGGCATAAAATATGAAAATCATATAACAGTTGATTGGATACCAAAAAGAAGCTATTAAAGAAATTCAAGAAAAATGAACCAGGAGAGCACAAAATTGTAACTGAAATGATATTTAACAAATTAACTAGACATTCAGAGAAAGACAACAAACAAAAAATTACTAATACTAACATGTACATAAAGATTTTACTGGTATAACTAAAGGTAAAAATTTTCACATATATAGAGATGTATGTTTTTTTTATATTTTTGTTTTAATTGCTATCTTTAAAAATACCAAGAAATCTCAAACACATCACACACCTTTTTGGAGGTAATTTAATTTATAAAACATATAAATTTAATAAGTACAGAAAAAATTGTTATAACATGTAACAGGCATGAGACAATATACTGGTATATTGATTAGTAAGGAAGTTTTTTTTGGCACTTAATATAGAATGGAGGTACATGTAAATTACTGATTTTAAAAATGCATTTATAAGTCAATACCTGTATTTCAAATAAATCAGAACTCATACTCATGGTAAATAAAGAAGAAATGAAGAAAAGTCATCCATGTACAGTTTATACAACAATGAATTGTCAGCCTCAGATATTTGACTTTGTAAATGCTGTAATTACCCGGTGATACACAGTTAACAATTCTGAAAGAATCACACATGGCACATTTTTTTTTGTGAAAAGAAATGTTGGTATGTTTTCTACATAAGCCAGGTTCCAATGAGTTTCTCTATGTTAGCCCTTGCCTGTACTAGTTGTGGTGGGTCATTGCTGGCAGCAGGGTACATGTTAGCACAGTGGGCTGTTCCTGTAAATGTAAATAAATTCCATGTCATATTTAAAAAAAAAAAAAAATTTCTTTTTAATCAAATTCCATGCTCGGTGCTTCAACATCAAAATTTGATATACTTTGGCTGCACTCTAATACAGCGCTATGGTATTCAATTTTGTTAAAGTATATTCTTACTAAAAATTCCTAATTTTCAAAATATGTTATTAATTCAAAACAAACTTTTGAGAGTATTACTTTTCAGATTTTCACTGACAGATCAAACATATGATTCAAGCTCCATAACACAGATATTAATTCTGACCTTGGCCTATGAAAATAAAGAGAAACCAACACCAAGCTAAATAGCAATCTGCATATTCTTCAATTTCACAAGCCACGAGTTAACCACTTCACTCAGGAGGAGTGGAGCAGATCGTAAACCCTTGGCAAGCAAAGATGCAAAATCAGGGATAATTTGAAATAGACTAGTGAGCTACTACATGTACATTGCATACATTTCTTGGAAATGGAAACAAAATCTTAACAAAATTTCTAACCTTGGATGAAAATTGCTGGAGATTCTTTGGATAAATCCTTGGTAAATCCAAGGAAGTGCCAGGGATCAATAGATCCATTGGGAAACACAATCCTGGAGGCTCTCATCCCCATTCCCCCATAATCTGTATTGGTTCTGTTTATTCCTTGTTGTATTAGATTCTGGTTAAATTTGGGTCCAAAGATGTCAATACATTGTTGTATAGAGAAGCTGTAAAAATAATGTAACTTTTAGAGACCTTATTTTTGCTGCAGAAAATAGATAAAAATGCTAAGAAATAAAATAGCTATCTTTTTGTTAGCTATATCCACCTACTCATATAATCATTTAATATGAATAAAAAAACATTCCATTGCTCACAAGTAGAAATAAAAATGTTAGATAAATTCTTTCTTTTCAGAACAATATTGTGGATTATCTGGTAATCCAAGGGCATTTTTTTACAACATAGAAAATGGAAACTTAATTTTAAATATTAAAAGAATATACATGAAAAGGAAAAAGAAAGTGTAGAAAGGTGGAATTGAAACTGATTTTACTGATTACTTCAGATATTAAAACCACTAGTAAATGCTCAAAAAATAGGAAAAGTACAAGTATGTCTTTTTTTCTAGGATATCTGAATATTAAAATACAAACACATTGTACATAATTACATATAATGTATAATCATGTACATTTAAAACTGTCTCTCCCACTGGAAAAAACTTACTTGACATCAAAAAAGTTTCCGAATGGCTGTGAATCTCCAAGGTCTGATGACTGGAAGAATCCAAACTCTGTACAAGTCTGGTACATCCATTGTCTACCTGTAAGCAAGAAACATTGTACATGTAGTTACACACTAAACTTGGATAAACTTTTTTTAATTTAGAACCATTGTTGTTTGTAATTTCAAAACATTAAAATTCTCCATGCATTAATTAATTTGAATATCATATCAACATATTTTTTTTTTATAAAACACATTTGTTTTTTTAAAATAATATAAGCATTTTCATTACGTTTGTGAAGCGAAAGGGGATGAAATCACCCCCACCCCCAAAGTCATGAATGGCTCTTAATTCCATCTTAAAAAACATTAAAAATAAAGCAACTTTACCTCCCTCTGATGCACTAGCATTCCATGACACACTCTGTAACTGTTTAATCATACTGTTATAGCTGTTATCTAGACATTTCTGTGAGTACGTAGACAACATCAGGTCATTGACCTTGGCGTATCTCTCTAGAGGGGACCCTGTGCTCTCATCTGTCATGATGCCACAAATAGTGTCTATTGTTATATTAGTTCCAATGGCACCCTGATGAAAAACGATTGTTAGATATATGATTATAATTAATACAGAAATAAAATTTACTTTTTAGCATTTTACTTCTTTAAATATACTGTAGATCACTAAATTTTTGCAACACCTTTTTTTCACGAGATAGTCATTGATTCTTGATAAGCGAGGCAAAATTTTCTGGAATTGTGGTAATTGCTCTATATAATCTTAAAAAATACTATTATATGCAAGAATTGAATTTTCACAAGCACATTGTCTAGCGTAATTACCCGAAAATAAAGTTCTCACAAATAAAAAGAGATTTACAGTAATACAGGTACGGTTTTACCATTCTGAAGAATAGAATTCCAAAAATTCACGGAATTTTACATGATATATTATTTTCAAAATATGCAAATTAATATTTTTCTCTAATTATACAATGCTGATCCTATCTCAAACTAAAATATCCTGTATATTCCTCCTACATGCAATAAAGCTTAGTACCTCAAATGCCCTGTTATCTTTATTGTATTGCACCACACCCTCAAAATTCCCTGCCAAGTTGGAAAATAGATTTGCACCATCAAGATATGTTGAAGTATCCAAAGGATCACATACTCTTAAATTATAAAAAAAAATGATTACATGTTACATTCTTTGCTATACACAAAGAAATATTTTTATTGAACTGAGAATAGACTTAAGTCAAAAATTTTGATTCTGAATAACTTAAAGTTTAGTTAACAGATATTCTCAAAATTATGCAGTTATGTATAATATTCAAATTCCAACAAATACTGCAGATTTAGTATCATTATCATTTTTTTTTTCAAAAGTTATATTGATTTAAAATTTGACTTAAGTCTATTCTGAGTTCATGGTCATGAGAATAGGCCTGTAACATGTATAAGAAACAAAAAAAAAGGAAAAGATTTGAAGGCCTGAGAATTAAACCATTACTTCAAATAATTTCTATTTCTGGACCTTGTTGAACCTTTGAGTCTTACTTAAACATCTTTTCCACATTTTTCTTCCCTTCATCAGTCTTTAGCATATCTGTGATGGCATCAGTAGCCATTTTAATGTTTTTATTGCAACCCTGTCCTGCGGTTGCTAAGGAACTAACAACAACTTGTAAATACTCTGAAAATAGAACAAAAGTGTATATGTGTATCCTGTCCACACCATTTTTAAAAAGTTACTGTAGTACAAGTGTAGCTCCAAGATTTTCAGAAAGTATGTGAATTTAGGAATTAATTTTGAAGTACAATTTCCTAGATAGTTTGGACTTTTGATTGGTAGCGATATGCCTACACAGTAAAGCATGCGTATAACCAAATGTTAAGGACAGTTGACTTTCCTTCATTATAAGCATAATTCTTTATGTTCAGTAAGTTTACAATATATACCTTAAGTCATTGTGAATGAATGTACATAATTGATTCATAGTAGCACATTTCTACTTCCTATCTTGGTTAACTTTTCTGAAAACATGAATTCATAGAAGGATTTAAAAGTCCTGAATAATTCATAAAATATTAAGTGGGAAGGTACTTATTCTAAATAGCATGATCAGTTAACCTTTAAAATTTAGTTTGGCCACAATGGGTGCACTGGTGGCCACCGCACCATCTACCAGGTGGGGGTACTTAAGTCTGAACCAGGCCGACAGGGAACCTGAAATGATAATCAAAAAGATGTTAAATAAGCCGAGATTAATTCAACTAACAGATGGTAAGCAACAGTTCATTTTCATCCTTTTGGTTTATAAGAATTTACATTTCACCTGAACTGAATAGGAATTTTTCTGCTTTGCTTTATTCACTGTTAGTATATTGCAGTTATAAAGCATGAAATGTCCCAACCTATTTTATACATTATAAAATATAACCCGGGTGCAGTGTAGCTATATGTTTTAAATTCATTAATTATTCCTCACTATTATTTATTTAAATAAATAAATAGATTACCTGGGTATGAGCCTCCAAAGGTTATAAGTTTCTGTTTATCTGACAATAACTTGTATTTTTGTTTGACATACTGGATGAAGTAGGCCAAGTCAGCAAGAGCCTGTTCACTGCTCAGAAACTGCAAATTATCCACACTCAAGTCACTACAAAATCCAGTACTTATAAGATACAGCCAAAGTAGAAAAAGTATAGAATGAATTCAATGTCTCAACCACAAACATAAAAATCTAATCTTTATGAGGGTAAATACAGAAACTTTATTATTAATTATTATCATTATTTGGAAAAAAAATTCATAAAAGTGAAAGTTTTATCTGAGATTTCATAAGAAATAATTTAAATGTCTTAAAAGAAATTACGATGTAGGGTGGCTTTTTCCATAAAATCTATGCTCAAGCAGAAAACAGATGGCTTTATAAGTCTTGGCATATTCTATCCAGGCTCCCTGCAGCATCCACGCTGGATTGGCTGTACCCTCTCCTCCAATCATTACAAAGATTGGACCTCCGGGTCTATAGAAAGTGTCATTGACAAAATATCTCTGAAAAAGATGTTTGGGAGAATTATCAAATATGCAAAATGTATCTGTAAGATATTATCCATATCATACAAGTTGCGATAACAATAAATCAATTTTTTTTTCATTTTAATTCTCTTGGATGTGGATGGTTGAACAAACCATCCGAAAAACATCATGAGCATAAAAGATACTTTTTGACACAAAAGCCAATGTTTCAAATTTTTTATTACTATATATTTTCAAATTTTTCTAAAAAATTTAAAAACTCTGAAAATTTATGTTTTGTAATTTTTGAGAGATTTTTCTCTGATGAATGAAAAAAAATTGGACTAGCTGGTGTCAAAACCTCTGGTAAATAGATTTTTGTCCAGAATGTGAAATGGTATCAACAATTAAATCTAAGAAGATATGAAAAATTATAAGTTCTAGATAAGGTACCATTGGTTGTCATAATGGTTTATTAGGTTAATCCTGATTAGAAGGAGATATTTGAGGAATGATAACATACACCCTATATACAATTGTATGCTACAAAAGTTTTTTATTTTCATAAAGGTTGATTTAAATTATCCTTTTCAAATTTTTAAAAAGAAAAAAAAAAACCAAATATTGCGGTCATCATCATGTTAGACATATTCGAACTTTAAGAGAGATCAACTGAAAAAAAAATAACTACTGGTGACTTTCTAAAATCGACTTTTGTTCATTAATTTTTCTTTCCCTAATCTCAGCGAGATCGGTAGAGACTGAAAATTTTGTCATAATGGTTTATTATATATATAGACCGTTTGAGGACACTGATAACATACACCCTATATACAATTGTATGCTACTTAAGTTTTCTCAAATTCATTCAAGTTTGATCTAAATTATCTCATTGTTAAAAATTAAAAAAAAAAATATTGTGGTCATCATTAACATGTTAGACATATTCAAACTTTAACTTAGTCAATCATCTTTTCAAATTTAAACTGTTGCAACTTTCTAAAATCGACAATTGTTCATTAACTTTTCTGCCCGCCTAATTTCCTTTGAACATCCCTTAAAGTGTCTATCACTATAAAACTTTCCTTTCTTACCAGACCAAAAAAAAAAATGTTTAAATCCAGTAAAATATAAAGTTGTTTATTTTTAAAAAATTATACCCAAAATATATTGTTTGGTATATTTTTTTAAACCTTCGCTGCTGAATAATTCATACTATAGATCATTTTATAAGAAATAGTTTTATTGAATTATATATTGGAAACAGATTATTGTGGAACTCTTTAGCAGCGAAGGTTTAAATGAATAGCAAACAGCCTTATTACTTATATTTACATTTGTGAAAAATATTCATACTTTATATTTTATTGGATTTAAACATTTGAAATGCATTATTTTTCAAAACCAAAGTTTTAATGAAAGAACGCGCGTTGAACCTTTAGGGATGTTCAAAGGAAAAAGTTGAACGTTTATCCGGAACATCTACAACCTCTTAACCCCGTACCTGTATTTATACAGTTATAAAAACGCTTGCTTTCAGTAATGTTATATTTAAATGAAAACATTTGCAAATGTATATATAGAAAAATAAGTAACGTCAGGTGCCTGTGTCTCTAGTCTAGCCCAGTCTACCTGGTACTGATCTAGCTGAGATTATTCTCTTCCGTGTGAGTGAAAGGTACATTTTTGTTTGTTTTTTTAAGTAGATTAAAAATAAAAAAATCACTTAGTGGTAGTCAAACCTGTTGCCATGTTCTTGTATCTGCATCGTTGAAATGCGTTAATCTTTGTGTCATCCACATATCCGGGGGTAGAACAGACCCCTGGAGCAATTTAGGAGCTCCAAGCATTCCATGTCTTGGTCGCCCACGGAGAAACCTCGGGAGACACGAAACAATACTCAAATTCACAAAAATCAGTACAAGATTCAAGATCAACACTGTTCGTATGGAGGCCGCCATTTTGTCTTGTGAGACTTGATCACATGATCCCACTTTAAATCACGTGATTTCATGCGCCAAATTCCTGATACTTTTTTTGTGTAGGGCCTATCAGAAAACCCCTTCTATATTCAAATATTAAAATGAAATAAAAAAAATAAAATAAAAAATGAAATAAATAAAAAAAAAATAATTAATTATAATGATTTTTTGCAAACTAAGTTTTGGGAGAATAAATTATAAAAGTGTTAATTAATTATGATTAATTATTTCATAAATTTCAATGCACTGATGAATGTCTTGCGCCAACAAGTAGAAATTTATGTACGAAATGTTTTTTTTATTTTTTTTTTTTGATATATAAAAGAAAGATCTCTATTAAATGAGTACATCCTTACAAATAAATTCTTTCAAAAATGTTTAATTGTCGGAAAATAGCTCTTCAGAGAGCTTAATGTTCTTTGTTGATGTACCCGACTTTAAATAAATATTATCTTATCTATCTTATCTTATCTTTCAAGATGATAAAAGTGAAGATTGGCAAAAAGGATCAGTGGCGGTACATTTAGAACCATATCCCTGATGAATTTTAACAAAAACGGAAAATGATATCAGATATTGAAATTTTCATAAGCCACAAAGTATATAATGAAATATAAAATTGTGTCTAATAAAAATTCTCAGAAGGGGGGAGGGTTACACCATCCATTCGTCAGGTGCCTGTGGTACGAACATTAACTGGAGTATCAGTGCAATTATATCTCTCTCTCTCTCTCTCTCTCTCTCTCTCTCGCATGACCCAGGAAAAACGAAAAAGTACATACATGTACGTACAATGTATGCACTCATTATGTAGCTACCGGGGAATTTTTCGCGTGCCCAGTATCATCCTCGGGCTTTTCGTTATATACAGGGACCTTAATACTGAGTATATAGTCGCGCATACAAAGAACATTTTTCCTCTTATTTAATGCACATCTGGTGAATTTTAATGTAGGGTCTTAAAATTGTAAGAACATATGATTAATTTTGGCCGTTGAAAGTGCATAAAGTTACATGCATGGTTACAATAAAAATTGCACTGATAATGCCCTGATAATTATTTTTTCGTCTTGCTGTGAAATGATGTCTTTTCATTTGCTCTTAGTTTTTTCTTTTGGATATTTTGCTGTTCAAGGTAACTGTTTTTACATGTCCTTTATGCCAACTTCTGAAAGATATTTTTAGCAATAAAAGGGGTTTTTATTCAACTGAACAATGCACATATATGGAAGCCCTGGAGTACATATATTTGTAAACGAAATCAAAAAATAAACTTAGATGAAAGTAGCAAAAATTACAAAAGTTTAACTTTTTTAAATGCGAAAAAAAAACGCCGCAATGATAAACAGTCATGACTGCAACGTACGACATTATTACACGAATTGGGGGTGTTCTACAGGACAAAGACTAATGATTGCGTGTCCATATCTATTTTAAAGATGTCCATCACTGTAAATATAGTTAATTACGTTACTATGAAAAGTCATAAAATACTGGAACTAATAGCTGTTGACAACAGAAATGCTTACGTAATGCAGTAAGACAATGTCTCAATCCACGGTCTGGATTCAACTCATAGCTCGCTCTCTTTATCTCCTCCTCCTCCCAGATTAGGAGAGGATCTTATATTTTGACCGTGGAATGCAATGTTGTATTAAAAAAATACTTCATTTTATATATAAGAGAATTAAATCCCTTCTCCGATTTATATTTTATAATCAATTCTTATTGCTTTAAAAGGTGATGAACACATTCTGTCCAGAGTACGTCGTGTAGTTGGGGGAGAGAAGTTAGAGGAGGGAGAGGCCCCGTACCTGACATTTGTCGGAGGTAACTTTCAGAACGGCCGCAGAAAGCGCAGTATCTTCTGGTCACGCCCTAGGACCACCACTACAACTACCACCACCAAGAGTCCACCCCTCGGGGAACCGGAACAATACTGTGCCGGAAGTCTGATCAGTGACCGATGGGCACTGACCGCAGCCCACTGTTTTGATGGCAGAACTCAGTAAGTAGTTAATAGGAAGGAAAGATTGTGGGAATTATATGTGAGAGTTTAGTTTGGCAAACAGGCAAATATTTGTTTCAGTGTCCATATTTGGTTGCTAGATGCTTGGATAAATTTTTGAATGTGTTCATGAGCAGATCCAGGATTTTTATCCAAAGGGGGTCCATCTCAGTGAAAAAAAATTCCAACCCCAAAAAAATATCTAAGAAAATTTTTTTTTACTCCTATTACAAACGACTAAAATCTATAATACGCTCCGGGAGGGGGGGGGTACATGAATGTGGGGTGGAAGTTCCATCCTTTTGACTCTCATCTCCAGATGCTGGAATCAATGTTAAAACTCACACACAATCACACGAAATAAAGTGTATTTTTTATGCAAAACAAAAGTGTTTTGGGTAAAACTATCCTGTTTTAAAGAGAATTTCACAAAAGATAAATATTAATTCTTTTCGGCTGAATAATAATGGACATATTAAACTTTTTTATTAACTGACAAACTCCTTTCCGTCAAGAAATTTTGGCACCACACTTCTCTTTCTTCTATAAATTAATATCCATTCTACGTCTTTTAGAAGCGGACAGAGTTTTAAGGATCCCAGATTGTGGAAAGTAAAGATAGGATCAGTGTCATTAAATGATTTACAGGTATTTTACCTTGAAAGTCAAAATGTGGTTTACTTAAAAATTAAAAGAAAATGTCAAGTGATGATTATGATGGTTCAAATTTCAAAAATATAGTATTCAATTCATGACATGTTTTATCATTTTCTTTAAAAATATGCTTTTATAAAAAGATAAACTGCCATTATCCAAATAAAGTCGAATTGTGAATTCCTTTAAAATTTCAATTGTCGAGATTACATCCATAGCTGGCAAAAGTAACACGAAAAATAAACACTCAACACAATGAAAATTTGTTAATTAACAAGATAATATACTCTATGACTTCGTCTTTATGTTTATGTGTGTATTTGATAATCTTGAATTAAAGAAGGCCTAATTTAAAAGATCTTACTTCATATATGTTACAGGAATCAAGAGGGCGTTCATGGATTAATAAACTTAAAGCACGGTGGTTTAAAAACAATGGAGGTCAAGATGGAAAGTACGTTGGACTCAAACAAATAATTATACATCCTGATTACAATGAAGGTAAAAATAATTTAGATATAGCGTTTTGTTTTTACATTTTATATTAACCCATCCAATCAACTACAAATAAACAGCATAGGTAGAATGTTGAATTCTATGACCTAAATGATATCACTAAGAAATAGAAAAACTCGATAATGCGGAATTTTATCATTAGTGGATATTCAATGGCATTAAGGATTGGGTAAAATGTGTGCATTTCTTCATGTACAGACTGCATCTTTTCAATCATTGAAATAGAATGATAGGATGATGATACCATTACATTTTTCTCAGACAATCCAGACGACAGGGGTGACATTGCAGTAGTAAAACTGGAAGAAGAAATAGAGTTTGGTCCGAATGTTCAAAAAATTAAACTAAACTCAGACCCCCGATATCCGCCTGACTGGACGATTTGTAAAGCCCAAGGGTGGGGCTGTACCAGACCAGGTTATTTCAATATATCTTAGTATTTAATTGTTTGTAAATGACTATATTTTGATTAATCAGCTCAAAATGGCCATTGTTAAGATCTCTCAATTAAAGGTTGTTAAATTATTTTAATTTGCTAGCTATAGCTTTAATTTGATTAATGACAAATCCAAAGCATAACAAATTAATTTGAAGAAGCCTACCAGAGTGCTTGCAAATCAAGATATGCTTATTACTTCATATCCCTCTAAAATGATCCACATAAATTTGGACTAGTGTTTTTGTCTATTTGTCTTTTCTTTCTATTATAGATGGGCCTAGAAGTGACATTGCCCGATCTGCGACTCTGCCTATATTCGATTCAGATAGTTGTGCGCAATCATTTGACATAAATCTTAATATTTGCGCTGGATTCTTTGACAGGGGAAGAGGCATTTGTTTGGTAAGATTTTTTGTGCATATCTTCGACGAAATTAAGGTCGTAATTTTTTGCATTTTTATTCTGATTATTCTGGTTTAGTATACATGTAATTGCTTTGTGAACGAGGATTAATTTGCTGTTGTTTTTTAACGTGCTGAATAAGGCAGGCTTAATCCCTATATGCAGATGTTAGAGGTATATTAACACATAAATTGGGAAGGTGTAACAAAGAAAAAAATCATAAAGTTTTTGTTTAAGATTACCATTAACGTCTCTTTCTTGTATATAAAACAAAAACTTTTGCAAAATTGGACTTCGATGACTCCATTCTCTCTTTGATATGGTTTGGTGACATGATGTCTTTAAAATATTTTTTTTAGGGTGACAGCGGAGGACCTCTTCTCTGCAAAAGAGACGGGGAATTAGTTCAAGTCGGAGTCGCCTATCTCGCAAACCCCGAGGATCCGGCAAATAACCCGTCAATATACGTGCGCGTGTCGTCATACTTGGATTGGATAAAAAGACAGACTGGAATATAACAATTTTCTAAGGCTTCTAAGGCTGTTATAGTTGGTATATGTACAGGAACCAACCAATGATTAAGTCAGCAGAAACACCTCCTCACCGTTCCTTTGGACTTTCAGATAATTACCATGGAATCATTTGATGGCAACAAAACTAAATAATAAAAAACTGTAAATAGCGTGTTCTGAAACATTTGTTTGAGCATTACCAATGTAACATTAAATTAAGTATTTTAATTAATTTAGAAAAAGCTTTGAATATGTTTATGCTGATAGTCTAACTCTCTCAGTCTCGTCACTTATTTTTGCAGTATTTCCACTTAAATTGTCATGTACAATATAATCATATTCAATTACAAATACTCATTAAAAACTGACTCGGTTAAAACTCAGTTGTTTGTTGTTATTTATCAATTACGCCCTGTTACTAGCTGACCATTTCTTGTATTCATTTATGAAACCTTTTCATAAGAAGAAGAAAAAAAAACGTGCATGGAGTTCAACTCGACATACTGCAAGGAACTGCTGGCTAACAGACTTGATCATGAGTGATCTGTTTAAAGAAACATTCTTTCATGCAAAGAAATCATTTCAGTGCCTGAAATATAAAGAAATCGTAGGCTTTCCTTGGTGCTTAGATATGAGACTTTGTTTTGCTTTCTATATATAATTCCATACAAAAGTTTTGACAAATTTTTGACCTTATGAAAAAATCTTATAAAATTCTCCCACTATACTTGGTAAACAAATAAACATTATTCAGGTTACCAATTTAAATGTAAATCTATGAGAAATATTGCTTATTTTTTAAAAAAGTTTGTTTCTGTTATTTATCCTCAATTAATATATCTCAGTGAACTTGAGTTATATGGGATTCTACAGAATCTGCTGCATCTGTTTCATATCCGCATATATATTTGACTAGAAAAGACGTTAATGGTAAAATAATAACAAAACTTTATGTTACATTGTAAAAGTAACGACTTCAATTTTCTCTATCTTCAACTTTCTTATAATTAAATGTACCCTTATCACCTGCATATGGAGTTAAGAATTCACACTGGATAAAAAAAAAAACCCGCAAGAGCATGCACTACCAACACGTACAAACAATTTCTAAAACAAAGCAAGGTATTGGCAAACAGGTTGATAAAACAAGGATGTCAATAGTCTCATTAAGTCAATATATATTTAGCAATGTATGGTCGATACAATAAACTTGTCAGTGAATACAAACTATCATCAAGCCTTCGATACAATAAACTTGTCAGTGAATACAAACTATCATCAAGCCTTCTGACATTTTTCAAACTAATTTACATATCAAATTTTCTACGTATTTTCCCGTTTGCTCAATCAAGGAACACATGGCAGGTGTAACTGATCGATAGGGGATGCTTACTCTGCCATGGCACCTGATCTTTTCTCTCATGTTTTAAGAAAAAGCAGTTTCCTCTATTCTCATTTTTATTGTTTTAATGGACCTTTGAGCTTGATTTCTGCTTATTATCCCCATAATTCATTTCAGAACTACTGTGGATTCCTTATTTTTCGTGAGTACTTTTTATCGCGAATGAGCTCTAGATCTTCAACGTCAAATCGCGAGAATAATAATTCGCGAACGGACGGTTGGTTAAAAGATTTAACGTAGATTTCAGCACCATTAAAATAAAGGCAAGCAATTTTATTTCGCGTGTGCTGCTTCTCGCGAAATTACGCAATAAATAATTCCACGTGTATATTTAGGAATCTACAGTAGTGCATGCGTAGTATATTACGAATTATACGTACAATTAAGTACTTTAATATTACGATAAATCTAAAGGATAATTATTTTTAGAGAAAGGTTTGATAATTTTAAAGCAAAGGAAACTTTTCGAATCATTTTCATATTGTTTGATATATCTCTTATGTTCTGAATCATAAGATAGTTTTTGGAGATCATTTTTACCGTGACCAATAGAATGGAGTTGTCTTTAACTATACTATACAACTTAATCTTGGAGGCAAAACAGTCTAACAATTCATTCAATATACTATATAATAAGTATTTCAGTCTGAAGTGTTATCTACTGAATAAAATGATACACTGAATACAAATAACTATGTAAAAAATATTTCGGGATAATAGAAAAGATTAAAAAAGAGACACATTGCATGCCCCAGGACTTGCACATGGGTACGGGGTTTGAATGATAAAATCACAACTAAGTACAATGTCCTGTTGATACTCCATGACCTAGCAACGGTAGTGGAAGTTATGGCATACATGTCTTTTTTCTAAATAATTGCCACATCTGGTAAATGTTAATAAAAATGGATGAAACAGATTAAGGTGTGGGTAAAATTAGCAATTCAAAAGTTATAAAAAGAAATAAATGCATTTTGTGATTGAAGTTAATAGGTTAATAGGATGAAGGTTTTCGTTTTTCTTTTCGTTTTTAATCTAGGAGTCATTACCGTGAAAGGTAAAAGATCAATTAATTTTCGATAGATATATTATATTCAAAATGTATACAGTTATTAATACAATTTTATAATCTTTGGTATTTTAAACTTAATTACACATTCCGCACGATAGAATATGGTTCTATTTTATAACATGTAAGTACATAGTGTATAATTATTTTTTTTCACCTGAAAGTGCATTTGTAGAACGCAAAGAGAAAGTTAATTTATTAATGACTGAAGGACTGAATATTCAACATTTTTGATTTGTAATGTAATTTCTTTTATAAGTATTTTAAATTCAATTATGTTATAATGAATTTATCTCTTTGCATTGCATAAAACGTTATTTCGAGCCTGAATACTGTTCGTTATCTATATATCATGATCCGCCGAAACATGGCTGAAAAATTGCCGACTCGGCGTTTAACAATATTCAGTCAATCACTGGCAACCATATTTCATGTATATTTCGTTTTAAAAAGGCGATAACCATATCTTGTCACGAGTGCGTCGTATCATCGGAGGGAAATCACTAGAGGATGGAGAAGCCCCGTACCTCGTCTTTGTTGCTGGGGGCCAGAGAGTTGCCCGGGGTAGGCGCAGCATTTTTTATTCTCTGAGGAGGAGAGAAGACCCTAACTCTCCGGAGCAGTGGTGCACGGGGAGTCTGATCAACAGGCGATGGGTACTGACCACAGCACACTGCTTCGATGGAGAAAATGAGTATGTTTTAGGTTTTATGATACAGTTTATATTATAATTCTCTTCGGTATATATTTTTTTTCTTAAGGCTCATTGTATTTCCGATTATCTGATCAACGAATGATTTTTTGAAAGAAATAAAAAAAATGAAAATAAAATGCACATAATTTCAACATTATTTGCTGGTCTAAATTTGGGTGAAATGATTTTGTCTTTTAGACTGGGTCGTAGTTTCAAAGATCCAGACTTGTGGAAAATGAAGATTGGATCAGTTGCTTTAAAGGTTGGTAATTATTTAAACATGCATACATACCCGTACTCAAAGGATATTTAAAACAAATGATACTCTCTGCTCTTCGCTACCATATAAGTATTATGTCAAAGTTCATTTTGGGAAAGCCAAAGTATTCAAATCTGAACATAAAATAGGAAGTGCATGATAATGGCACTATGAAATATGGAGGTAACTAAATCGGAGCAGTACAAACAAGTATGTATACCATTGAAACATCGAAGATGGAATAAGTTCCATGGAGGAGTAAGCAATTAACCCCCTTACCTGTTATAATGAATCTGTGAAATTCTCATGAAATCTAATCTTGTAAAAAGTTGAATAACTAAGAGTTATCACAACATTTAATTGTAAATCAAGTAAATTCATTGAGCTGAATTTCGTTGTAAAATATATTTAAATATTATTTTAAAGAGTTACATATATCTATTTTAGTTGGACTAGTTTATTAAACAGTTGGATTAATTTATTAACTAGGGTGACAGTAGTATTGTAAATTTTGGAATTTTATCCCCATCAAATTTCATAACTTTGCCATTAACTTTTTACATAAAAGTTTACATTTTGTATACAATTCGGAGGGGGAGGGGGGGATGGCAGAAAGGTTAAAGTCGCCGGTAGTGAATTAAAACAAGATATACATGAAAGTCATTTTTATGTGACAAAGTGTGTATTTTTTATTAAACGAGAATGATAAAAGTTGATGATAAATGGCCATTGACATCCTTTTTTTGATTTTGAATGTTTTTAGAAAACAAGGGGCGGATCCTCGTGGATAAACAGGCTCACGTGGTTCAGAAAAACCGCCGCCAAAGAACCTAGGTCTGTCAATGTGGATAGCATTATCATACATCCCGATTATGATGAAGGTATTAAAAGATGAACAAATTAAATGTACGAACGAATGCACTGAAAAAAAATCACGGCATGAGAAAACTTAATATTAATTGTGCAAATTTAGAATTTTTCAGGAGAGGGGGGGGTCCAAATTCACTCTACAGGTATCGTTAAAAAATGACCAAAAAATGTAATCAACTTTCTTAAACCTGAAAACTTATTTTAAAAATGTAACGCGCATTTTAAATCAATTTAAACTGGGACTGTGGTTTCCAGCTGTTGGATTGGTCATGGTCGTTTCTTGCACAATTGGTTACTTTTACAGAGTATAAAGCATGTTTGAACTCATAATTTACTATTAACACTTATATATACCAGATTTAGAAAATGGTAAGGGTGACATTGCAGTGGTTCGACTTTCTGAAGACGTATCTTTCGGGCCAGATGTTCAGGAAATAGTTCTCAACTCAGACTCCACATATCCCCCAGATGGTACAGAGTGTACAGCGCAAGGGTGGGGCTGTACCAGAAGAGGTACGAGTCAAAACTTACGTCAAACTTTATTATACGGTAACACCCCCCCCCCCCCCTTTGAAATGAACAAAACTTGCATAGTTTTTTTTTTTAAAATAGATATGCAATAGTCAGACTTAACAATTGTTTAACTATAGTTCAAAGAGCATTGGTTATATATGAAGTATAAAATTGAAGGTATGTGTAATTTATTTTTTCACCATGAAATGGCCAAAAATGTTTTTTTTTTAAAACAATATTTGATTTGTGTTATTGATTAACAGGCGGACCACCAAGCAATCAAGCCCGTACGGTGGATCTCCCAATATATGATTCAGATAGTTGTAGTGAGGGATTTGATCTACGATACAATTTCTGTGCTGGATACTTCAATCGTAACAAAGGAATATGCCCTGTAAGATTTTTATTATATCATTATTGAAATTACAATGTATACACATACTATAAGCTAAGTACAGTAAATTCACTTTTTGTGAAGCAATATTATTAAACAGTTTTTCAACCAGAAGCATTTACATGCACTTTCAAATATTCCTGGCAGATTTCCAATTATTTACCTTGTTAATAAATCATATTATTTTAGAAGTTATTATTATTATTTTTTTTTTTTGAAAACTGGTATATCATATATATATATAATAAACAATACGAAATTCCTAATAGATATCTATTTTTCCTACTTGTTAGGGCGACAGCGGTGGACCTCTTTTATGTCGTAGGGACGGAAACCTAATACAAGTTGGCTTAGCATCCCTGGCTAACGTAAGAGATCCTGGAAATTATCCCGCCATTTATGTCCGCGTGTCTACTTACTTGGATTGGATACGGAGTTACACTGGATAACTTGCGCGAGCTCTTCTTGTCTCCAAAATTTAATATAAAGCATACGATTTTTTTTTATTTAAAAAAAACTTCTTTTCATGAAGTTAGAGAATAAACAAGAGGTCCATGGCCTACACCACTCAGCCAAGTTACTATGGACCTGTCCTTCTCCACCCCCTATTTATATTCAAAACAGTGGCCCCACCTTCCCAAGGGGTCATTCATTGAAAAAAAAACTTGAATCTACACTACCTGTGGTCCAACCTTAGACCTGTATTTCATGATTTGAACCTACCGAGGTTACTTTCAAGAATCTCCTATATACCGGTACATGTACGTGTTTTAGGTTACTTGGGTCACTCATTTAGTGACCTACTAGTATTGCTTCCCGTTTTTGTCCGTCGTCTTGCGTTGTGTGTTAACATTTGAACATTTTCAGCTTCTTCTCTGAAACCACTGAACAAAATTTAACCGGTTTTGGCATATAGCACCATTTTATGGGTGATTGGGAACAAAAATTGTGCAATTCATAGTCCCTGCCCTCCTGGGGCCTGAGGGATGGGGCTGAACCCACCAAAAGAAATATGATCTTTAAAAATCTTCTGTATACTCCTGGACATCAAGCAGGCAAACTGTTGGCTATTAAACAAATGATATATTTGTACATAGTTTTTATGAGAAAGATCGCCTCTTCCCAAATTACAAATTTCATGGTCTCTGGGTCAGGGCCGGGTTCTGACGTAAGGGCACGGCTCTAATGATTTCATATAGTGAAAAATGAATTACATGTATTTGAAAAAATCTTCTCCTCTGCTCCTGGGTACTATGCTGATGATCTTTCTTCCAGAATTGTGAATTTCAAAGTCGTTGGGTCAGGGTTACTGGGGGGGGGGGGGGGTCTGATGATTATAATACTGAAAATAAATTAATGCTTTGAAATCTGTGTCTTAGTATTTATCAAACATTTACGATGAGCAAGGGTGCCTTTTCCGAATTGTGACATGTGTGGCCCCAGGGTCAGAGGTTAAAGTGGGTTGGGATCACTTCTTATTATTATTGATTAATTGAAATGCATTTTACTTTGTTAGCTTCGCTATGTGTATACTTAAAACGAGCAATGATTGTGAATTTTATGGCCAATGGTCTATAACACAAACCTTACTCATTTGTTGGAAAGTTGTTACTCAGGTGACCGATGAGACCCGTGGGCCTCGTCTGTTTTGACAATAGACGACAAACGACCACCTGATGTCGAAAAATATCATAGAAAAAATTATTTTAACATGTATAAGTTTAAAAACACTAGATCTAAATTATTTCAAGCTTAAAACACTAGTTCAATTACTTGTGTATTTCACGTAAAGCATCTGAATGGCTACTGCACTACACTTTTCTGATGATTCAAATAAAATATTGAAGGTTCGGTTTTAGTGTGAGTTTATTCATATATAAGTTGCATATATTCTAATGATGTAGAATTCCTTTCTGGCTTCTAATTTCTGGTGTTCAAAATTCACAGAGTCTGACATACCTGTTTCAAAATTTAAATGTTCTTCTAGGAAAAGGCGTTCATCATAACTTATTAGCAAAACTTTTTAATGATGTGATGACTCCGAATTTTTCAATCGTTAAAAAACTTCCTTACTTATGTAGCAATATACCATAATCACCTGCATATGGAGACTATGCCTTCCAGTTCATTCGATACGCAAGATCATGCTCTGTCCTATGGCACGCCGATTGGTTCAAAAGTATTTTCTGCACGACCTTAAACAAAAATTACACGAGTTAGTCAAAACTTACACAAAGCGCGGAAAATACACACAAAGTTATTGAAATTTACACAAACTATACAAAAACTACACAATCAACAAAATATTTACACGATATAACGAGAAAATTACACAAACGTAAAAACGAAAACTGCACAAGTGAGAATACAAGATCGACATAATATACGACGCATCCTCATTGCGCACATTTCATTAATATTCATTAGAGAACGGATCAGTGTGGCTTGGAAGCTTGAAACGTTATAAAACAAGAGGATGAGTAATGTGTTAACAATATTAATCTTTTAAAAAAGATTCGGTCTTTCAGAATTACGCTAGACTCTCAAGAATATGCCTAACGTGTTATATACATGTAAAAATTGACAGGCACACAATATGCATATAAATTAACATCCCCGATTAAAATATAGATAACGTTAAAAGGGGGTGCATATAAACCGTATATTATCAGTTGCGTGTTTAATTGTTAGATTTTTTGTTTCATTCCTCTATATAGCAATATCTTTTGAAAGTTTAAAACAATGATATTATCATAGTAAATGTAAATAAATAAAAACAGCGTGAGTTAATACAGGAGAGTTAACAACAAAACAAACTCTTCTCCTCCACCACCCACTGTGTGTACTTTGGTAATAATTAAGGATGTGGATGTGTGACCTTTTCAAATCAAGAAATTCCTCCCTACTGGGATGGAATGAAAGACACGTGTACGCTAATCGATTTATAGTTATTTGACACTTCAATGATACATTTTGATTGGAGGTTATTAGCAATTTACAGAGATATTGAAGCAATGTTGCTGTCATCTGGGTTGTGGAATTTGCCCAATGTGAAAAAGTAGTACATGTAGTCTTAAATGTTGAACAACGTGTGGTGATTACATAAATACATGTATCCATGAAAATGTAAAATGTAAAATTATACAGTGTTTTACTTTTGTGAATTTCAACTTAATTTCTGTTTTTCTAGAGTAGATTATTTTGAATAGGTAAAATGCATATTTATAAAGGAGTTAGACAATTTAAACAAAAATATATAATTTAAAATTATAATATGCAGATACATATGTAGTATCTCTTTTAAAAGGGGGGGGGGCCAAATAACCTAAAAAAACTTATTAACAAGCAAAAAAAAAAAAAAGGTAAAGCGTCCAATCTCGAAAATCCTATTTCGTTGAGGTAGTGAGGCACCTTCAATTCCAATCCAGCAACAAAATAGGGGGCTTTTCAGTGGACATTTTACAATGGAAGTAGGTTCTTTTTGCAAAAAAAAAAACAAAAACAAAAACAACAACAACAACAAAAACCAGGGGGGGGGGGGATTCTATAGGCCTAATTGACGATTAATTTTGTTTCATAATAATATATAAAATCATGTTCTTTTTTTTATAATGGCCATATACATGTAATTGGGTAAAAAAAAGTAATCTTACAAGAAACTTAGTGTTTGGAAAATAATTTTAAAAATCATGAAGTCGAATTTGAAATGTAAACAGAATAAAGAACATGAATTATTTGCATTTTTTAAGAGTGATAAAACGCGTTCTATGACACTGCGGTGTCCATTCTAATTTTTTTTATTGCATCCTATTTGTAACATTGTATGTAATATAAATGTACTTAGTAAAGCACACTGTTTTAAAAGTAATAAAACACAAAAGCGCATGTACATAAAACACACAGGGTATATATATCCTTCTTTTTTCTGGTCCTTTTTATTAAAATGAAAACATTTATCATGTAATCGTCATTACGAATGAGAGTAACGCTCACAAGAAATGTCTTATTTTTAATTGAGTAGTTTATAACTGAAAATATGAGATTACATGGAATAGAATTCATAACAAAGTAGACTTAAGATCTCCAACGAAACTGATATCCTGATATTTCATAAGTATGAATACATGTGTTATTAGAATAAAATATTTTTTATGTTTGGCGTTAGATGCAGGCGCGGATCCAGATATTTTTTCCAAGGGGGGGGGGGTCCATCCCAGTCAAAAAATAAATCCAATCCCAGAAATTTCTTGACAAGAAAAGATAGAAAGAAAGGAAGAAAAAACTCGCCAAAACGTCAAAAATCTATTTCGTAGGGGGGAGGGGGGGGGGGAGAGAGTTGTGTTATGACTTCTATCGTCTCAAATCTTTCATTTTCCACATCCATTTCACTCACATATTCGCGTTTCCCGGGGGGGGGGTCAGCGTTTTCCAAGAGGGTCTATGGTAAACCCTCCCCATCCGACCCCCTCTAGATCCGCGCACGCATGAGATCTAAATACATGCTGTATACATCTAACGTAATCCCAACGTTCTTAAACTTAAATATTTATCCAGCTAAATGAATCGAATATAGATGTATAATTTCTTATTCCGAGTGGTAAAGAAAATAAAATAGGTACAAATGAAAAGTACCAAAATTGATTCTACAGCTTAATGATTATAATCAGCAATAGTTCTGCCAACTTCCTGAAGAATCAACTTTATTAATCGATTCATTATGCGAGTGTTAATTTCATATTTATACAAGTAATTTCTGTTAAAGATGTATCTACAAATTAGAAATTTTCAAAAGCTATAGGTAGTTTATTCAAATAAAAAAAACATAACAAAATAATTCTAACATTTTTTTTTTTTTAGAAAATCAAGATCCTAGTCAAACGTACTGTTTATCGTTAGGTACTTTTAGTTCGGAGTCGAGTATGCATAGTATGCATTTTTTTACCCGCATTATACGATTCCTTCTTGTCACAATTTTTGTCCAGCATCAGATAATACCTCCGTATATTGGTTATGATCTCGGTCAATATAAGAAAAACATAATATTTTCGAAAAACGTATTCTCACATATAGATCACATGGAAACACTTCATAACTGTTCGATTGACATTAGCTAGAAATCGGATCGAGTTTTAGCAAAGAAATAAAGAAGCAAAATAAAGCACAAGCCATCGTCAACGCCATTTAATTTCCATTCTCGATTACATCCAGCTAAGTATGTACATGAAGCGATAAAGAGTACAGAAAACCAAGAACACAATGAATATTCTATGTGCATAATAATGATATGCGCAGCTGTATGCGCAGTAAAATTGTTTGTGTAATTTTTAGTTTCCTCTGCTCGTGCAATATTTGATTTTTGTTTGTGCATATTATACCCCCAAATCGTGCAAAAAATGTCGGATTCGTGTGTTTTTCACTTTGTTTGTGTTAAAATCTTTCAAACTATTTTTACCTATACGTGCATTTTTATTTTACTCGTGTAATTTTTTCATCTAGCTCGTGTATAAAATCTTGATCGTTGTGCAGAAAATACTTTTGAACCAATCGGCGTGCCATACTGTCCATTCTGAAACCAGGCAACCTACTAAAAATGAGTTGGTGAAACAAGGATATC